CTGATATATAGAGGTATGTTGCCTCTAGAAGTAGAGGTGATACATCAGCGTTATAAATAGTAGCTCTTAAGTGTCACCACCTCTAAGGCTTAAAGCTCTTAGCAATAAAATATTAGGTAAACATTGTCCCCTGACATTAAGTCCAGTTGTGTCTCACTCTGGGGGTTGGTGCTCATCTCCATTTCTAAGCCAAAGAGCTGCCGTTGTCCGTAGACACCTTCAAGGTCATGTGGCCGGCATGACTGCATGGAGCGCAGTTATCTTCCCGCCTATTGATCTACTCACATTTGCATGTTTTCGAACTGCTAGTTTGGCAGAAGCTGGGGCTGACAGTGGAAGCTCACGCCGTTCCCTGGATTCGAACCTGCGACCTTTCAGTCAGCAAGCTCAGCAGCTCAGTGGTTTAACCCACTGCGCCAATCATTAAGTCTATGTAATAAAATATTACATAGACTTAATTATTGGAAAGCTGAATATTTTTTGTTCCTTCGTGGTAAATATTTATTGCATTTTCCTATTTTACTGCATAATTACAACAGGTGCCAAAACTCTAGTAAAGCTAACTTGGCAGGAATAGGTACAATCTTGAAATGGTAAGGCTGAATTTAGCAGCAATATGAGTAATTTTCATGGCATGTGTCCTCAAATCAATTTTCAGTGCAACAGTCATTTAAAAGTTTGGCTTATGATTTGCACTTTTTAAAAAAATATGATTTTGTGATTAAATGCAGTTATTCTATTTCACAAAATCTGAGGTGCTATTGCATCTAAATTGCATCCCATTTTCGGAGCTGTGGTTTTTGGAGAAAAGTTTTTCCCCCAACAGCAAACATTTATCTCATTTATGTTAAAATGTCAATCCATAGCTCTATTGCCATGTTGTTCTGCATATTCAATTACTTTCCTTTGAATGCAGCTTTGTAGTGCAATCTTTTTGACATTTTGAGGTCCAAAATGAAGGATCGCAGTGCATGAAAGACAGCTCCAGTATTTCAGCTTTTCAAAGATACAAGTAAAACCTTGTTCCGTAACAGTGGCTACACACTTGCAAAGCATGTCATTTTGTATTCAAATACAATAGTGGGAGCAGGATTCGCTTCCAAAACTGCAACTGTTGCGTCGTCAGCAAAGTGCGGGAAAATTCGTAGAAACCCACACCCCATTTTTGGAGCTCCAAAAAAATGGGGAGAAAAACAATTTAGAATCAGTGAAATACAGTATGCAAAGAATTTACTATTAGGCATCTTGGAGAAAAGTTGTTTTAAAAACTTGCATAGAATATGCATCACGTTAGAGGAATATGGCATGTCTATGTTTCCTTTATGCCTTCATATGTCCTCATGGACAACAAGTTAAACATGAGCCAACAATGTGATGCGGCGACAAAAAAAGCCAACGGGATTTTGGCCTGCATCAATAGCAGTCTAGTGTCTAGATCCAGGGAAGTCATGCTCCATTCTGCCTTGGTCAGACCATGTCCAATTCTGGGCATCACAATTGAAGAGATACATTGACAAGCTGGAATGTGTCCAGAGGAGGGTAACTAAAATGATCAAGGGTCTGGAGAACAAGCCCTATGAGGAGCGGCTATTTGTTTGAATTGAAGAAGAGAAAGCTGAGAGGAGACACGATAGCCATGTATAAATATGTGAGAGGAAGTCATAGGGAGGAGGGAGCAAGCTTGCTTTCTGCTTCCCTGGAGACTAGGACGCAGAACAATGGCTTCAAACTACAAGAAAGGAGATTCCATCTGAACATGAGGAAGAACTTCCTGACTGTGAGAGCCGTTCAGCAGTGGAACTCTCTGCCCTGGAGTGTGGTGGAGGCTCCTTCTTTGGAGGCTTTTAAGAAGAGGCTGGATGGCCATCTGTTGGGGGTGCTTTGAATCCAATTTTCCTGCTTCTTGGCAGAAGGGGGTTGGACTGGATGGCTCATGAGATTTCTTCCAACTCTGTGATTCTATGATTCTATGTATGGTTGGAGGTGTTTTTGATGTTGTGGAGGTTAATATTCTCCATCTCTCTTTGAAGGACCAAAGTCCCCTTTTCTGGAGATTTATTTTGTAGTCTCTGAAGCTCTCCTCACCTTCCCATGTCTTGCGAAGAGAGGTCAGTATCAGATAAATATCTGTCCCCATAACCAAACATGAAATGCTTATAACCCGGCTGAGACCTCTAGGCCAGTAGTTCTCAACCTGTGGGTTCCCAGGTGTTTTGGTCTACAACTCCCAGAAATCCCAGCCAGTTTACCAGCTGTTAGGATTTCTGGGAGTTGAAGGCCAAAACATCTGGGGATCCACAGTTGGAGAACCACTGCTCTGGGCTATCCCACTAGATCCCAGCCCTGATGTATTCATTTTGTATCTGCATCTGGGGTCCTAGCCAGATGCTTCTCCACTTACATCCATTTCTCAAAAGACATGGAATGCTTGTGAGGGAGCAGGAGACTTCAGAGACTGTGGCAGGCATGGGCAAACTTTGGCCCTCCAGATGTTTGGACTTCAACAATTTCTAACAGCTGGTTAGGAGTTGAAGTCCAAAACACCTGGAGGGCCGAAGATTGCCCATGCTTGCTGTATGGTAAGTCTGGAATATATATATAGCTTAGCCTGGAAGGGTCCAGATGCAGAACTACTAGACTGCTGTGCTGTACTGTATTACAGCCCACAAGTGTGTTGCTTCCCTACCTTTGAGTGAGCATGAGGTTAAGAATGTTATTTACTTATTCATTAGCTCATTTTTACCCTGCTGTTCACATATAAAGCTCCTAGAGTAGCTCCCACATGTGACAGACAATCAGAACTGGCTAGACATATCTAAAGCAGCAGGAGAAATTATTATTGGCTTTTAGACATGCTTCCGATGTGTAGTAGCATCTCTGAGTCATTACTAAGCTTCAGCTATGGTCAGTCTCTGATTTAAAGTTGTAATTCTGATAACTTTGGAAATGTTCCATTGAAATTAGTGTAATAGCACTTCCAGGAAAAGCTGTTCAGTGCTGAAGTAAAAGTTTATAGCTTTGGGTGCCCAGGATCTGGAATTGACCAACTATATGTATATGTATATGTATATGTTTTTCTTCAGCCCATATAAAAGTACTTGCTTTGGTTGATAAGCTTCATGTGTTTCATAGGGTATTAAAATAGTATGTGATTGTGGTAATGTTTAAGGCCTAAAATTACAGTAGTTCTCGCAGAATGTCTCTCTGTTTTTAAGCATGTTCTTTGGCCTTTCTTAAACATACACAACATCATCTTACGGAGATGAATCATGGGGCTTCACTTTTGCAGTAAAGTAATTTACACCACAGTTAGCCATATGGTGCACCTTTAAAAATGTTGTGTGTAGACATAAAAGCCTTTCAAGAGCACTTAGTCCAGCATTCTGTTCCCACAGTGACCAAGCAGGTGTCGACAGGAATCTGACTTGAGTCAGACTCTCCAGAAACTATTTCCTTAGAGTACAATAGGATTCTTATAGTATCCACTAGTCGCCTTATCTTCCATAACTGTGACCATTCCCCCTTTAAAGCAGTATAGTGGATGGCCAGCAAAACACATTGGGATGAAAAAAATCCATGCTTTAAATATGTGCTGTGTGAAGAAATGGTTCCTTTTACCTAGTCCCAGTTTCCTACTTGCAGCAGCTCCTCTTCTACCCCAATTCCTACCTTTTCCCACCAAGTACAGCTGTGGTGAAAGAGAAAAAATACCTAGGACTTTACCAGTACCATGCCCAATCTTGTATCCTCATGTCCCCCTTGTGCTTTTTCTAAGCTAAAAAAAATCACTAAGTTTTGTTACTTAATCAGATAGTTCTATCTTGGCCATTTTACTTTCCATTTTCTATAATTTTTTCTAGCTCTGGTTTTCTTTTTTGCAGTGTTGGGGTTGGAGACATTTGTTGCTTTACCTTTTATTTGTTGCTTCATATCTAACACATAAACAAAACGCTTTGAGATTTAAATAAATTGTTCATGAAGGCAATAATCCTAGATGGGGCATGAACTAAACAGGGACTAAATTGCAAAGGTGTGAATGTACAATCTTGGTGTTGATGTGGACAGCGGCAATTAGGGTGTAGATTATATTCTTTTCTTGTGGCTTGCTAGCAGAATCAAGTCTTTACCACAAAACAGCAAGTCTTTTGCAATAATTTTTAGTGTTGTAATTATAATTAACCCTTTTGTGTTAACCTTGTCAGGCGTTTGCTGCACATCTTCATTGTGCTAGAATCCTGCATATGTACTGCAAGCCCACTGCAAAATTAAATGTAGAAATGCCACTGTTTCTTTTGGCTTCCTGGTTATCTGCTCAACTAGATGTAGACAACTGGTGACATATGGTTCAATGTGTTCTGCAGGACCGCCCCTCCCTTATTCCCAGCCTTTCCCATGATAAAACTTTTTAATTTTCTTCCCAGCATGAAAGACAACAATGAATGTGATATGGCTAAGTCCCTACTCACATTTCCCCCTTAATGTGGGGAGTGGGCAAGAGGCGCTTAAATGAAATCTTCTCATGCCACCCAGGGAACAATAATGAATGTGCAAAAGTACAAAATTGGTTACACTGAGTACAGTTTATAGGAATTAGTATTACATGTCCCATCCCTTTTTATCCTGTCTGGAGATAGGCCAACAAGCATTTCTTTTATACCACTGCTAAGACTTCTCCCACATATTCTAAGAAATTGGTTTTCTTTAACTACATGCTCAACTTCAGCTCAGGTGCAGCCCTACCCTGTATTATGTTATAATCCACATACAATGTGGAAATACCTGCTTTGGTGCAAATCTGTCAGTGTTTTGAAGCCTAGACCTAGCATCTGAATAAAGAATTCTTAATTTTCCCCCTGTGTCTTTGCTGGAAGCTCCTCACGAGTATCCAAAGTGATTTATTCTTCAGCTAACCTTGCACCTTATCCAAAAATCTGATTACTTTTAGTTCATTTGTCTTATAGTTTAATATTGATATATGAATCTTATTTTTCTCTCTTTAGGACTGGACATATCCAATGAGAAGAGAGATGCAGGTATGGCTATATCTTTTTGTAAGTAGTTCATTAGATACTTGTTTCAGCTGTAAAGATTCACATGATGCCCTGGAACACTCCCATATGTTTCAGAGTTGGAGATGGATAGTTCAGGGAGCAAACCTATTCCCAAAGAAACCTTGGGAATGTGTTTGCCTGAGTTAGAGCTACCATGAACCCAGGATCTGTGAAAATTCACCATCCATGTTTATTTCACATTGCAAACCATGGTCAGCTTGGTAAAAAACAAAATCTTTCTCTCCTAAGAAAAGACAGCTACTGCAGGCTTTTGGGGAACTGTGTTCTATACTCCACACACTTTCTGTATTTTAACCAGACGTGGCCCTATATTACCTTCTAACTGAGTGACATCTGCACCCCCTTCTTTGCTTTACAATGCAAAGAATACTGCACAGTTCCCACATCTTTGTCCTGAAAGTCATTATGTCCACCACTAACATCCTTGCCCCTAGCAGCTAACCCCTTTCTGTTCCTATATATGATGGAAGTTCCCTTTCCGTTTGCTTGCGGTCTGGTGGTTTTTTTTTTCCAATGCAGGAGTCACTGGAGGCTTCTGGTTCTGGGAGTGAACTGATCCTCTGATTGACTGTGGGCACTGGAGGAGGCTAATGCTCATGTTGTAACACCCTTGCTGCATTTGCCTTGAATTAACACGCTTAGGAAGTGTCTAAATTGGAAGGATGCATCCAGGCATGTAGCCAAGGGGCACCAACATAACATGGGCTGAAATTCTCATGGTGGTCCACTAGAAGGCCTTACTAGTGCATTATTTAAATTGTTATGTTTATTCATATCATGATCTGATCACCATGCTCAATATATCTCATATGCACGAGAGTATTGGGGTAATGATACAAAAGGTTTGCTGGGGTAGACCCTCTTTCACCTAGACTCAGCCCCCACCTCCCCGAATCAAAATCCTGGCTACGGGCCTGGTTGCATCCATCCATACAAAAAGTAATGAATACATTTGGAATTGTGATTTTCAAAATGTTAAAAGGGCATTGCCATCATTTCACAATTTGTATTCTATGCAAAAGTTTAATTAAATTGGTGTTTATTTTAGGATATTACTTAAAGATAAGACAAAAGCCTTGTTGTTGCCTCAGTGCAAGTAAGCAAATGTGTGCATGCAGCGGGTACTTTCTTTCTTAAAGAGATTTCCTTCTGTTCTTGTTAGCAAAATAAATATTTGGGGGTTAAACTTTGCATCACATTCCTAGAGTCCTTGATTCAGAACAGGGCTTGAGGCAGATGAACAGCTGACTCCCCTTTTCACCATCTCTTGAGTCAAAGCACACAGTACTCAAAGTCGCCCATGTTAGGTTGGTACCTGAGGTGGAGATTCCCACAAATACTACCTTGAAAGTTATTTATTTATTTGTCGTGTCAGGACAACCAGTCAAATTATATTACATTTCTAACAGAACAAAGCAAGCAAACAGACAAAATAAAAAATACAATAGCAACAAAGGAAATAATTTTCTGCAATCTGCTACATGAGACATGCTACTACTATCTGCATTATTACCAATATGTGTACTCAGATGTTAGCTGAATTGATTTTAGACTTTTGGCAGCCTTTGAATTATGGCATGGCAATCCCAATTTAAAAGATTTTCAAGTGTTGCTTGTGGGATTCTGAGTTGTGCAGAGAGGGTGAGTAGCTTCCTGTCACCATTAACAGCTGCATTGGAGGCAAATATTCAGAAGAAAAAGAGCTTTGTCTATTAAGTGTCAGGTTGTTGTGCATTTAGAAATCCTGCCAATAATATTTGTGTAGCAAGCCAATGTACATATCTCAGGGCAGCAGATTAAAAAAAAATCCAGATTATACATTAATTGATCCAGAGAGAAGAAGCCATGATGAAGTGAAGATGGGGGGAGGGGGTATAACAGGGAGAGGCAGGCTGTAGCTAAACAGGCATTGAAAGTTTTGAGTGAAAATTCAACCTGTGCAAAATGATTATCTTGTTTGTGGGGCAACTTGCACTTTGGTTCTGCTAACCTCAACCATGCTAGGCTTTGAATTGCCTTTGAGGACTAAGGCTCTGAGCTGAGGGGGAGCAGCCATGAAGCAGGGCAGTTCTTGGAATTCTGGCCTGGGGATAGGATTACCTTGGCAGGAAGGGGCAGCTGCCTGCTGTTGAAGCCTTTCACTCCACCTCTCTTGTTTCTCCAGACTCATGCATGTGTCTGACGGCCCCCCTTTTCATAGAGCTTTCCAAGTAGTGAATCATCAGAACCCAGTGTTGATACTCTTCCTGGCAGACCTTGGTTGCGACTAAGCCCTGTGATTGAGCTTCACACTTGTGACAACCTCGGGGTACTTTGGAGATCTTCTCACTGTGTCACTTTCTTGTGTTCTGGCTGAGCACGTTTCCTTGCAGCTCCAGTGCTTATCACTTCAGGAAAATAAATAGAGACTTCAGGCATGATTTGCTAAGACTTTCATCATAACATCCTAGAGTTGGAAGAGAACCTCAAAGCTAACAGGCAGGAATACACAATGAAAGCCTTTCCAACAGATGGCAGATCAGCCTGTTTAAAAATTGCCAGAGAAAGGAGACTTTGCCATATTCCAAGCCATATTCCAAGGCAGCTATTGTCAAACAAATCTTACCATCAGGAAGTATTTCCTAATGTTTAAGTAGAATCTCTTTTTTTTAACTTTGGATCTGTTGCTATGTGTCTCTTGGACCCCTTTAGTGAGGGAATTGTCAAAAGCCATTAGAACCCAAATAATACCTATTTCATTAATTCTTTCTACAAACCTTCCACCAATGTTGGTCTTACTATCTAGTAGAAGACTGAATTCTGTTTCTTTTCCCTGCTTCTTTTTTTAGGAGATTTTACCTGGGTTGTTCCTGGGACCGTATTCTTCAGCTATGAAAAGCAAGGTTGGTTTGCCTCTTGATTAACTTTTGTTCACTATGCTGAGGCTATTTCAATGAAGTACAACTGTCATAACTAAGCCATACCTAAGTTTTGGAAACATGTTCAGAGCTGGTTTCCTTTTCTCTCCTTCATGAAAGCCTCTTTTTTTTTTTTTTACAGTGTCCTGAAGACTCTTCTTTGATGAAGGCTTTTGGATCTTTAATGTTCTACATTAGCTTGAAAAACAGCTTGAATTGCTGGAAATTATTTTAACGAATTTGTTTATTTTTACCCTACTGTTTTAGCGTTTCCTTCATATTTGTATTTTTTTTTTCATTTCATTGTGTTTACATTTTTTGCTTTCATTTGCAATAGATTCTAGCCCAAGGAAAGAGGGGGTAGAAATATTTTAATTAAAAATAAACACAGACACCACTTAGAAATAGCTACATATGTTTTATCACGTGGCATCCTTGAGGATTATATTATTTGTTGATCAACTGTATCTTTGACAAAGATACAGTTCAGGTGGAGGTGGATGAGATTTTTGGGAAAGTATGTTTGTTAATTTGGTTTTAAGTCATCAGAACCTCACTGAGTTTTCAAAATAATTCTGAACATATTTAAAAGCATGAGATTTCATATGATCTTGGAAGCAAAGAAGGGCAGTCCTGGTTAATACTTGGATGGGAGACTGCTAACAAATACTAGATGCCATAGGCTCTGTTTCAGAGGAGGGAAGTGACAAAACTGCCATTAAGGATTCCTTGTCCAAGAAAACCCTACTAAATTCATGATGATGCTATAAATTGACAGGCGACTTTGAAGCAACATGCACCCATGTCTCATAATGAAATGACAACTAGCTATATATTCACCTATTCTGAATACAAATTCTGTAACATTGAGCTTTTGTCTCTGTTTTGTCAATCCGTGTTTCAAGGAGTTCTAACTTTTTGTCCTGAAAATTTCTTTTACAGCTACCTATACTTCAGAAGCATGGAATCACTCATGTAATATGCATAAGGCAGAATATTGAAGCAAACTTTATAAAACCAAACTTCCAGCAGTTATTTAGGTAAGATAAAACCCTGATTTGAAAATTACCATCACAAAGCCTTCTTCAGTTATGTTCTTATTGCCTAGGTGTAGTTCTGAGTAATAGTAGTGCAAAACAGAATAGCAGGCCATATGTGACAAGTCTCTGTGGACCCTGCTATTTGTCTGGTATATTGTATGTTAGTAGTCAACTAGTTAAAAGTTAAGTGTTTGAGAGAGAGATACAGAACTTCCGTGGAGTATTATAACTTGGGAAAATTGAGAGAAAAAAGGATGGAATGATGATGCAAAGACAGGGTGTGCTATTCTAATTTTTTGACATGCTCTGTCCTGTTGAAATATGGGGCATATTTCCAGTTATTCCAAAATTACACCAGCATGATTTTCTTCCATGTTTCCTTTGCTAACTAATTTTTTATTTTCACTTAATTCCAGCAGCAGTAGCGTACTTAATAGGATGGGACTATCATTTTATATCTCCACAGTTCAAGAAATCTGGGTACACGATGCAGTTTATAGAGGCATGTTTTGATACTAATGTATTAATGGGATATGGGTTGCTTCTCTTCCCTGAAGGCACTGATTTGGGTTATGTTACTCCTAGTATAATCGAAAGCTTTCCCCATATTCAGATTAGTCCTTTCAGCAGCTAAGGTAAATGTTTCCCCTGACATTAAGGCCAGTCGTATCTAACTCTGGGGGTTGATGCTCATCTCCATTTCTAAGCCAAAGAGCTGGTGTTGTCAGAAGACACCTCCAAGGTCATATGGCCAGCATGACTTCATGGAGCGCTGTTACCCTCCTGCTGGAGAGGTACCTATTGATCTACTCACATTTGCATGTTTTCAAACTGCTAGGTTGGCAGAAGCTGGGGCTGACAGCGGAAGCTCACACTGCTCTCCGGATTTGAACCAGCGACCTTTCAGTCAACAAGTTTAGCAGCTCAGCGCTTTAACCCACTGCGCTACTGGGGGCTAGTTTATATATAAACATAAATTCAGTAATACTACATAATTGGGGAAATCTGTTAGTTAATAATGACTATGGGTATTTTATTTCTTGAAAAAGAAATGTAAAATATAAAACACTACAAAGTGGGAAATATCAATTTTAATCTGTTTTAAACTCCATCTCTCCTTGGGTGTGTAGTGTAGATCTGAAGCCTCTGTCCACTCTGAAAAGTGATTCCTAGCCCCACAGATATTGTGTACTTTTGGTAGAGTGCATAGGACAAATCATAACTCTTGTTCTGTTTCAAATAATAGATCATCCTCCTAGGTTCCCTCTGTCTTCTTTGCAAATTTGAGAGGTGGAGACCTGGATCATTCTCTGTTCTGCTGAGAAAATGTCAGAATCTTTGTTTTAACAGCTTAGATAATTTAGCTGCCTCTGTTTTGGAGATGGGGAACCTAAGTATCAAATTGCATGTTTCACTGCAGTAGCATGTGACAAAATCCTAGCGTAGGGACAGAGAGCTGCCATGTCAGACAATGGGTCCTTTATCTCTCACTATTGCCTTCATTAGCTGTTAGTGGCTTTCTAGGGCAGGACTGGGGGCTGCAGCAGTTCCTCTGTGGGGCTCTGGAAAATCATGCACCATCCCTCTGGGATTTTTAAATCTCTTTAATGTGCTTTATTTTCTTCAAAATGTTGATTACTCAATTGTTTTTACTGGAAATACTGTGAAAGAAGGCAAAACAGCAGCCAGCAAAGAGGAGGAAGAGGAGGCAGTGGCATGGTAGTGCCAAAGTTCTCTCCCTGCAGAAATGAGCCAAAGAGCTCTTCCCTGGGGACAGATACAGGCAACACCTCAAATATCTGAAATGTTTTGTCTTTTCCTTCACTGCCCAAAATCAGCTTCCTGCTTTTATCTGCAAGTGGCTGGTTCAGCCTGTTTCAGTTTTCTTTGACATAAGAAGTTGATCCTTGGCACCAAGAGAAAAGGTGCAAAGAGTTTCTTGACAGAAGGGAGACCTTGCCTTCTCCGTTTCTATAATAAAACAAAGTTCTTTATGTTGTTGTGGGTGGGAGAAGCGCTCCAATGCGGAACAAACTGCTCAGATGAGATCTTGCTACTCTAGTAATTTTGTTCATTGGGAGAAGGGGAGGGCCACACAAAGGGGGCTGGGGACCACATCTGACCTGGGATCTATATTTACTCACCTTTCCTCATGGGTTTCAGGTAATTTATTCCCTGGCCAGAGGTTTTATACTCAGATTTTCTATATAATATAATATAGTATAAAATAATATAATAATAATAATCTATATAAATAAAATGTAATGTTTGTTTGTGGGATTAACAGAACTCAAAAACCACAGGGCGAATTGACACGAAATTTGGACACAATATGCCTATCAGGCCAACAAGAGACCATCACTCAAAAAAATTATTTTGTCATTTGGGAGTTGTACTTGCTGGGATTAATAGTTAAATCTACAATCAAAGAGCCTTCTGAACTCCACCAGTGATGGAATTGAACCAAACTTGGCACACAGAAATCGCCTAACCAACGGAAAATACTGGAAGGGTTTGGTGGGCATTGACCTTGAGTTTTGGAGTTGTAGTTCACCTACATCCAGAGAGCACTGTGGACACAAACAATGATGAATCTGGACAAAACTTGGCACAAATACTCAATATACCCAAATATGAGCACAGATGGAATTTGGGGGGAAAAGACCTTGGCATTTGGGAGTTGTTATTGCTGGGATTTATAGTTCACTTACAATCAAAGAGCAATCTGAACCCCACCAACGAGAAAATTGGGCCAAACTTTCCATACAGAACCCCCATGACCAACAGAAGATACTATGTTTTTTGGTGGTCTTCGGCGACCCTTCTGACACCCCCTCACAACCCCTCAGGGGTCCCAACCCCCAGGTTGAGAAATGCTGCCTTAAGGCCATCCAGTCCAACTCCCTTCACCAGGACAAGAAAACATAATCAAAGCCCTCCTGAGAAAGAGCCATTCAGCCCTAGAAATAGATAAATAGATATGATTCACACACACACACATATATGCCAGATATAGTATCAGAGATTTTGAAAGGACCTCTAAGGAAGGGCAATGATATGTTGCATGTTCCAGAGTAGGCAAACCAGACAATCTCTACATCAACACTGACAAGAAGTACTGTTTACGCACAAGCATAAAGAAATTACATATATTAGAAACTAACACTATTTTCCAGGTCACCAGACTGGGCCACAGCAACGCGTGGCAGGGGGCAGTTAGTAATAATAATAATAATAATAATAATAATAATAATTATTATTATTATTATTATTATTATTATTATTATTATTATTTATACCCTGCCACCACCTCCCCAAATGGGACCCAGGGCAGCTAACATGAGGCCAAGCCCAAAGGTACAATACAGCAAAATAAAATACAAAATGCAGACAACAAAAATTACATYAAAATAAAATACGTACAGTAGTAAAATAAATAAAGCAAATTAACATAATATAAAATATAACAGAATGGGCAGGCCAAATGGATGAAGTAAAATGATAAAATCCTGGATGAGGTAGGAATAGGAAATATGTAACTGAGGGGAACCCAAAAAGAATAAAGCATATCTTCTGCTTCGTAAATCAAACATTGGCCCATCCCTTTTGGTAGTGGCAAGAGGCTGGAAAGAAAGAGAGCAGTGAAGCATCACTCGCTTGGTTGCTTTTCTCCTGAAATTTCCCTCCCCTGAGCCATCTTTGTCTCCTGAGGTTTTGGATGTGGTTTGCTAAGGGCATGTAGTAACAGAAGGAGTTGTGAGCAGCATCATAGGATAGAGCTGTAACGTACGCTATTTATCCTATGTCAGGAACCTGCCTTTCAACTTCCCATTCTTTATAGCGGTTTCATATGATGAGAGCAATGTTTTCTAGGACAGATGTCAACACTTTTGAAAAACCGAGGTCTTTGCTATGTACTTAAAGCACTTCTTTTAATCGTAGGTATTTAGTCTTGGATATTGCAGATAATCCCATTGAAAACATAATAAGGTTTTTCCCTACGGTAAGTGTTTTTCTTATCTTGTCTGCTAGATTGTTTTATTAGCCTCCCTTTCAGAAATAATCTGAGTTAATGCAGCCCTGTGAGTGGGAGGTGGGGCAACCTGTCTGAACGCTTCTGCTAGGTGAACCAGGGACTTCCTTCCACCAGCAGAGACTGATAATAATACCCTAGGTAGCATTTTATATGGCTTATTTTCATGTTGTCTTCTGCACTGCCCTCATAACAAAACGGATCAAATGTTAACTGGTAGTATTCCTAGTTGCCATGGTTACAATTCACTGGGAAGTTCTCTTGCACAAACTCCAATAAATAAATTGGACCAGTATAAGAGCTCAGCAGTGGTTTTGCATGGCTCCTCTTCATTCCAAAGTGATATGTGCAGAAGGACTTCCCAAAATTGCTGGGAATTGTTAGCCCCATATCCATTTTGAATAAGAACAAGGGCAGTGCGTGATGCATTAGCATAATAAAAATATTAACATGCTGCTATCTTTGATGTTGATTTGGCTGTATCAGCATAAGGACATTTGAGTTTGCTGTAATGGGAACTGAATCTCTTTCCCCCCATTTCTTTAGACTAAGGAGTTTATTGATGAAAGCTTACAGACTGGAGGTATGTGCTTTCAACTCTCTATTTGTAATTGATGAAGTGAGAAGATAGATATTTTGCAAATACATTTATTCTCCTCCCCCCCCCCCCCCCCCCCCCCCCCCCCCCCCCCCCCCGCCTTCCCACAGGGTTCATGTGTATAGATTTGAGGTAGATGTTCTTTGTCACGGTGAAGGGCAAAGTTAGTTTCTTTCAGGTTACAGGCCTTTTCTGACCAGACAGAAAACAAGAAAGAAGGGAGGGCTCTCACACAAAGTTTTGTAAGATGTCCTTGTATTGTCTTCATCAGGGAATATGGCAGTTGGTTACAATCACAAGTCAACATGAATCTCTTTTGGTGATCCTTTTAATCTGGGTGGGAAGTTGCAAGACTGCATAAATGGCAATGACAGATTATGGTAGTTGTAGCCCAGCACCATCTGGAATGGCACAAGTTCCTGGCTGTAAAACGATATTTCAGAGTCAAAGAATAATAACCCAGTCAATAGGTTAAACCTTATAAATGATGTCTAGCTGTAAATTTTTATTTTATGTATTTATTTTATTTACGACAGTTATATGCCGCCCTTCTTAACCCGAAGGGGACTCAGAGCAGCTTACAAGATATATATACACACAATATATTATATTATTAGCATAGTGCAATATCAGTATTATAACTATATACCATTATATCGTAATATTATTAGTCATATTACATGTAATATAAAATATATAATTATAATATATCATTTTATTTATTTATTTATTTATTTATTTATTTATTTATTTATTTATCGGGGCAGCCAGACAATTGTATTACATTTCTAACAGAACAAAACAAACAAACAGACAAAACACAAAATTTGCAAGCTTGGTAGTTGATTAAATGGCCTTTGACCAGTATCTGACCACTTGGAGTGCCTCTGGTGTTGCCGCAAGAAGGTCCTCTGTTGTGCATGTGATAGGGCTCAGGTTGCATTGCAGCAGGTGGTCTGTAGTTTGCTCTTCTCCACACTCACATGTTGTGGACTCCACTCTGTAGCCCCATTTCTTAAGATTGGCTCTGCATCTTGTGGTGCCAGGGCGCAGTCTGTTCAGTGCCTTCCAAGTCGCCCAGTCGTCTGTGTATATATAATATAATTAATAGTATTATTATATTGTATTGCATTATAATGTTATAAATATTATATGTATATACAATATATTACATTACATTATATTATTAGCATAGCACAGGAGACAAGGTGGAACTGGATGAATCCCAACCACACATGGTAGCCTTGTTAATTGGAAGGAAACAAGCTTGCTTAGTCTATCATTCTGTTTCCCTCTTAGGCATGCTTATGATGTTCATGCAGATTTTAGTGCTAGTGCCTGTTGTGCCAGTGGTTTAAATTAGTGTTTTGTTAAACTAGCATGTGTGTGGATTGTTTTTCTCTAATGGTCTTGCTTATAATAGTAATTTCCCTAGTTGATTTCAGAGGCTCTGCTTTGCCAGAGTCCTGTTGTCTACCTTCCATGTAGATATAAGCAAGTTGCACTCACTCCTGCTTGGGCCGCTGGACAGGCCTCCCCTCCCTGCTTAGCATTCTGTCCTTCAGAGGAACAGAGGTGCGGTCTCTCTGCAACCCTGATCACCTGGTCACTGTTTTCTGAAAGGGTTATGGACTGTATGCTGGGGTTTACATTAAGTGACAAAAAGTATGAAATGTAATTATTGTGAAAATTCTGCTTTCTTGTATAAATTAACTTTCTTCATTCCCAGGGAAAGTTCTTGTCCATGGGAACGCAGGGATTTCCAGAAGGTAACAAAGTTCACACTTTAAAAAGAAAACATTCATAAGGAGTGGCCAACATATCTTACTTTGCTTGTTTTTTTTCTTCTTTTCAGTGCTGCCTTAGTTATTGCATATATAATGGAAACATTTGGAGTGAAGTACAGGTATGAACCTGCTTTGAACTATTTTGTGAAGGGATTTGCTTACTTCCAGAGCCAGTAGAAGTGGCAAGGCTTAATCTTTAGCATGTCTAGGTAGTGTAGTTTTTAACTCTGAATATGTTTCAATTGTTTTTACCTGGGATTTTAAAAAGACTATTTATATTTAATCCTGTTTTAATACTTGCATATTTGTATATTTTAAATGGTATGCTAATGCTTCGATGTTAAGGCACGTTGAGTCTCCTTAGGAGAGATAAAGCAGGGTATAAATATAGATAAAGCCAATCTAATAACTTGTACAAATATTATTTATTTATTTACATCATTTTTATCCCGTCCTTCTCAACCCCCGGGAGTGGGGGGTGGGGGGTAGGGACTAAGGGCGGCTTACACCGGCAACAATTCAATGCCACAAGATAATACAAATATAAATAAAAATAACAACAGTTTAAAACAGTGAATAGAACATTAAGTTAAAAACACATTAAAACACATTAAAACATAGTCATCAATCCATATAGCCTATTCCAATTTCAATCCGATTCCTCATCTAAAGTGCGGTCATGCTTGCTGGCCAAAGGCCTGGTCCCAGAGCCATGATTTAACCTCCTTCCTGAAAGAAAGGAGAGAAGATGCCGACCTGATCTCGCTGGGGAGCGAGTTCCACAGGCGGTGGGCCACCGCTGAGAAGGCCCTGTCCCTCATCCCCGCCAAGCACACTTGCGAGGCTGGCGGGACCAAGAGCAGGCCTCCCTGGATGATCTTAAACCACCTCTCTCCCCACACAAACACTTACTGCAAGGCAGGACATAGAGGGAGATACGTTAGGACAGGTAAGCTGGGTGAGTCCCCTTCGAGGTGAGAAGGGCGGCATATAAATGAAATAAATAAATATAAATATACTACTACTAATAATAAATTCCTTTACCAGTTAGTCATGGCCTGTTTGCATGGACAGTACTGTGCAGTGATTTGTTTTCCTGCAGTATGGTGAGGCAATCCTTCATGCCGGGCCTGGCTCCTCCTTTCCCTCTCCTCCCCTTTTAGTTAATAGCTAGTTAATTGTATAGTTAATAGCCAATGTGCTGTGTAGTTGGGTTACTCTGATTTGAAGTGTTTGTGTGGGGAAGAGAGGTGGTGGCGAGTCCATTTCAATTCCTTCAAATGGACAGGTTGAATACGATCAGAAAAGGAGTGAAAGTAAACAGAATCTCCATGATAAACTCTGTTGCTCAGGAGCCTTCTAGTGGCAAGAAGCAAGTAAAACATGTGGAGTCTAATGATAAAAGGAATAGAAAGTTCTCTCCTAGGGAAAGTGATCAAGGTCTGTTGTGACTTTTCTGCAGTCCAGTTTGAATAAGAGTCTCAGTACTAACACTCTTAAGAGACATGTGTCAGCCTTAGGTTCTGTTTTGCAGATTATCAGCAGGATAATCCCCTTGCATCTCTTATGTGCAGAATTATTTCTTGCTTAAACCAAGAACGTCCATCACTCTCCTGCATGAGACTTGTAGTTTTATCTACTGTTTTGGAGGCTCTGTTTATTTATTTATTTATGTATTTATTTATTTATTTATTTACTGTATTTGTCTACCGCCTTTCTCAGCCCGTAGGCGAATCAGGGTGGTTAACAGGGCAAAATTCAATGCTTACAATGTCATAAATGCAATTAAAACATAACATATAATAAAAACTAACCAAATCAATAAAATATAAATTCATTTTGTCTCCTTGTTAAAAACGTTGTCCGGACTCATTGTCTAGCCRTTCCATTTTCCTATGTCAGTTACTCTTCATTGGCAAATGCTTGTTCAAAAAGCCACGTCTTGACTTTTTTCTGGAATGTTAAAAGGGAGGTGGCTGATCTAATATCTATAGGGARGGCATTCCACAGCCGAGGGGCCACCACCGAGAAGGCCCTGTCTCTTGTCCCTGCCAAGTGTACTTGTGACGAAGGCGATAATGAGAGCAGGGTCTCCCCAGACGATCTTAAGGTCCTAGATGGTTCATAAGGGGAGATGCATTCGGACACGTAAGTTGGGCCAGAACTGTTTAGGGCTTTATAGGCTAAAGCCAGCACTTTGAATTGTGCCCAGTAGCAAACTGGCAGCCAGTGGAGCTGTCGCAACAGAGGAATTGTATACTCCCTGAGCGCTGCTCCTGTTAGTAACCTGACTGCCGTTCATTGGACCATTTGAAGTTTCCAGACAGTCTTTAGAGGCAATCCCATGTAGAGTGCTTTGCAGTAGTCTATACGGGATGTAACCAGAGTGTGGACTACCGTGGCCAAGTCAGACTTTGGTATTGAAATTTCTTAGCTTTAAAGTTTTGGTTTTGACTGTTGTCACTTCACAGAGTCCCTGAATTGATGTCCCTTATCAGTCCAGGAGAAGTATTGCAATTTTCATAAGGATTCTCTTACTTTTCATTTGGGTCCTTCTTGTTTTCCTAAAGTAAGTTATGTATTCTCTCATTCCCAGGAGACTGTTCCGCCTCATTTTTGTTCAGATTTTAAGGCACCACAGGGAGAAGAGTGACATGAATCAGATGTGTGTAAATCTTTGAAATCCGATCTAGGCAGAACTAGGGGTTTTCATAGATATGTGTGTCTTCTTTGAAGAGTTAGCTAAGAGCCACTGGGTATATTCTTTTACCTTCTTCTGTTGTTTGGAACAGTATATTGAGTAGGGTTATGTGCATAGCTGCAAATCAGTTCCAGAGGGAATTCAGGCTTGTAGTGATGCCATTTCTGAGGGTTTGAGCATGACAGCTTTGTTGTTGGTTTTTAGAACCGTCCTTGTCAGTCACAGCAGGATTGAGAAATTTGTTTCAAAGGATTTGTCTTTTGGAAGACACGTTCTGCCGCAGGTTGTGTTACCTACCCGGGTAGTACGGTGAAATGCTTGTGTCGGTCCCACTACGAAGAACTGCCTTGCCGTGAAGTTTCCTTTTCTGTAGTTTTGGTGCCTTGCTGGTGTATTTGTTTGGTTTCATGCCATAGACAGTGTGTTTTCCTTTGTCATTCCATCATTGGGAAATGTAGGTGGGATGGTATCTTACCCTTAGGGCAGTGAAGATGATTGACAGATAAGCCCTGCCTGTCAAGCGCAAGCAGGAGCCAGACCCACAACTGCAGAAAAGGTTACTTTTCAATCTTACACAAGGCAACTTCATACAATAATTGTTTGTTCTCAACTGGTAGGTTGGGTTGTTGTAGAGTTTTTTGGGCTATATGGCCATGTTCTAGAGGCATTCTCTCCTGACGTTTTGCCTGCATTTATGGCAAGCATCCTCAGAGGTAGTGAGGTCTGTGGAACTAGGAAAATGGGTTTATATATCTGTGGAAAGACCAGGGTGGGACAAAGGACTCTTGTCTGTTGGAGCTAGGTGTGAATGTTTCAACTGACTACCTTGATTAGCATTTGATAGCCTGGAAGTGCCTGGAGCAATCTTTTGTTGAGGGGTGATTAGATGTCCCTGATTGTTTTCCCTCTGCTGTTTTGCTGTTTTAATTTTAACTTTTTTTAAATACTGGAAGCCAGATTTTTTTAAATACTGGAAGCCAGATTTTGTTCATTTTCATGGTTTCCTCCTTTCTGTTGAAATTGTCTACATGCTTGTGGATTTCAGTGGCTTCTCTGTGTAGTCTGACATGGTGGTTGTGAGAGTGTCAGACTACACAGAGTTTTAACCTATAAAACCCTACACGGTTCCAGCCCAGTTTACCTGTCCGAACGTATATTCCCCTATAAACCATCAAGGACTTGAAGATCTTCCGGAGATGCCCTGCTCTCAGTCCCACCAGTTGCTCTTGGTGGGGACGAGAGACAGGGCCTTCTCTGTGGTGGCCCCCCTGGCTATGGAGCTCTCTCCCCAATGAGGTTAGGTCTGCCCCCTCCCTCATGACCTTCTGGAAGCAACTGAAATCCTGGCTTTGGAATCAGGCATTCGCAGATTGATGGAAGGAACCGATAAAGACTAAGAATTATTGGATCACAATGTTTGGATTGAGTTGGATGATGTTTTTGACTTGGTGAACTGTCTTTTTATATGTATTTTGTAACTTACTTATTATGTATGTTGTTTTTAAAATGTTATTTATTGTGTAGCATTGAACTTTTGGCTGTTGTTAGCCGTTCCGAGTCCCTCCACAGAGGCAGAGAAGAACAGGATATAAAAGTTCTAAATAAATAATAAATAAATAATATTGTGTGTCTTGTAAAATCAATACTTTCCCACTAACATCTAATTGCATCTTATCAAAGCGAAGGGATGAGCTTGAAAGTAGTGTGTTTTAGAAGATGAAAGGGATAAAACCAGCCTGGTTTGCAGTTTTGTTTTTGTGTCAAGCTATGTTTCCTTTTCTCTCACACACTGCTGTCTTCAGCAGCAAAAGTGGGGCAAACTGTGCTGCTGCTGGGGTTGCGGCAGAAGGCCCTTTGGTTGAGGGGGCTGGGCTCCTCTGGCTTTAATAGTAAGGATGGGAATAGCATACGGGTGGGTTTTAGGGATAATGGTCGGGATTAAGGCAGGCTGAAGAGATGGGATTGTGTCTGGGATTTTTTATATTGCAGGAGGAGTGTGCCTGTGTAGTTGTAATTGTGCCTCAAGCATTAGTATGCCTAAGAACTCTCTTTGTCTAGGGAAATTGAACATTTGTCTTGATTTTTTGATGCCAGGATTCAAGTTCGGCTTTCGTCATAGAATCGTTGCACCTTCAGCCTCAGTTCTCCATTTGTAAAACGGAAGTGATGCTTCTCATAGGATTGTTGTAGGAATGAACTCACTGAGGACTGCTGCAGCTATGTTTCATTGGCCCTAGTCCCCTCACCAAGTCTTGCTTGCTGCCAGATTTCCCCAGTTCTTCTGGGGAGATGGTGGCAGGGTATAAATAAATATTATTATTATAATTATTATTATTATTATTATTATAATTATTATTATTATTTTACTTACACAAAACCACAGTATGTCACAGCAAATGAGATCTCTATGCTGGATTTCGTATCACAAAATCACAAGTCAAACACTTCCCAAGCATCTAGGACTGTGTGATGTATTTTCGAATGATGCATGCAGATTCAAGTCAGTTGACAGAACGTGATTTTGTCAATGTTCATTGTTTCCAAATGCTGGCTGAGATCTTTTGGCATGGCACCCAGTGTGCCGATGACCACTGGGACCACCTGTACCTGTACTGGTTTATGCCAGAGACTTTGCAGTTTGATTTTAAGGTCCTGATAAGGTCCTGAGGAGTAGAACTAAGAGCACCTAACCCATTAGCACTATGGAGAAGCAAACCAAAACAAAGTCTATACTGGCTCGGTCAACGCCTAGGATAAAAAGGACTGTGGTGGATGCTGCTAATTCTGGACATCCATCGACAAGTGGGCTACAGAATCAAAATACAAATGAACCATCACAGAAGCGGCAGAAATATATAATGCCAGAAAACCGCACAATAATAATAATAATAATAATAATAATAATAATAATAATAATATTTATTATTATTATTATTATTATTATTATTATTATTATTATTATTATTATTCTGTCCTGGTTCAGTGCTTAATGGCTGAACCAGGGATTTAGAATTTCATATAAAGAGGAATCTGTAAACATAAGTATCAGCAAATGGCTATGGACTGTTAACTTTTACTGAAGTTAAGCAAAAATTTCCTCTACTGGTCAAGACTAATATGTGGGTGGGTGTTTCTTGAGGGCCCTTGTGTGTGATTCTAAGCTCCCTTAAGGGAAGGAAGAATGAAAACATAACTAAACAAATAATACCAAGTCCATGAGTCAGAAACCAAATGCAAACTAGGATTAATCCAACATGACAACTAAGATCCCCCCCCCCCTCTCTTTTGTTAGGGATGCATTTACGTATGTGCAAGAAAGAAGGTTTTGTATAAATCCCAATGCTGGATTTGTTCATCAACTTCAGGTAAGTCTTTTTCCCATCAGTGAGATGATATTTATAATTGGAAAGTATCTAATGTATTTTTCTGGGCACATATCTCAAATGCATTGGTATTTCTTCTGACTTGGAAGTAAAAACAAACACAGGATCTTGTGTGATCTAACATTTGAAGAGAGATATTGACAAGCTGGAATGTGTCCAGAGGAGGGCGACTAAAATGATCAAGGGTCTGGAGAACAAGCCCTATGAGGAGCGGCTTAAGGAGCTGGGCATGTTTAGCCTGAAGAAGAGAAGGCTGAGAGGAGACATGATAGCCATGTATAAATATGTGAGAGGAACACAGGGAGGAGGGAGCAAGCTTGTTTTCTGCTTCCCTGGAGATTAGGACGCAATGGAACAATGGCTTCAAACTACAAGAGAGGAGATTCCATCTGAACATGAGGAAGAACTTCCTGACTGTGAGAGCCGTTCAGCAGTGGAACTCTCTGCCCGGAGTGTGGTGGAGGCTCCTTCTTTGGAAGCTTTTAAACAGAGGCTGGATGGTCATCTGTCAGGGGTGCTTTGAATGCAATATTCCTGCTTCTTGGCAGAATGGGTTTGGACTGGATGGCCCATGAGGTCTCTTCCAACTCTAGGATTCTATGATTCTATTTTCAGCAGTGGATGGAAGGATTTGCTCCCCCCTTTTGCTGTTATAGACAGGAATCCAAGGAGCTTTGAGAAGAACCTTCATGTGATAACAGCATAATTAGGAGACTGGCCTTTTGATGTAATTGAAACATTCCTCAGTAGAAAACCCAATAGAAGAACAGATAGTAGCCAGACAAGAAAAAGTGGGGGCAACCTAAGCCAGTTACACCTCCCCCTTGAATAACACTTTTGGAGGATGGTCTTGTCTTCAATGGAAGACTTAAGACCATAATTGAAGTCTCATATTTGAGAAGGCCCTCTTCCACATCTTCAGCAGATTAACTTCACTTGTGGGAGACAAAAAAAGTTAATGGATTTTGACTGTTAATTTTAATACTGTTATGTTTAATTCTCTTTTAATGTATACATTTGTGTATATTTTAAATTATGTGGTCATACTTTTAATTGTAAGCCACTTTGAGTCTCCTTCGGGAGAGATAAAGCAGGATATAAATAATATTTTCTAAAGGCCCCCTCCATTTCCCCTGGCTGCCTGTTTCTGTCTTTCATGCTTTGGAGATTAATGTATTACTTATGTTCATTCCTTTTGTTTGATTTGGCTGCTGCATATATCTGAGTATTTGAAGGTGTGATCAATTAATCTTAGCTGGCAAAGTAAACAGAAACCAGGAGTTGGTGACATTTAGACTTCTTATCCCAGGAAGCTGGGATTTTAGCAGTGAAGCTAGTGAGTTTTAAGTCCTGCTTCCATTATATACTGTTGTTCTCCAGGGCTTGATGTTATTTGATTTGTGACGAACAGTTTCATTCCTTCTCAGAATCTACTGATAAGCTGAAAAGCTGCTCCATGTCCACATACCCACATTCTAGTTCAAGGTAGCACAGTAGTCACATGTTGTTGTCTGCATTCAAGGTATGACAACCATGGGGTTACTTGGCAAGAGTGGAATTCATGTCAACTTCTCAGACCAACATGTACATTCATTTCAACAGGCCTTCTCTAGTAAAGGTAGTTTCCTCTGACATTAAGTCTAGTCACGTCTGACACTGGGGGGTGGTGCTACTTAGATGATCCCTCGTTGTCCGAATAAGATTGTCCTCCAAGTTCGGTGTCCTGGCAGTGGGTACATAGGTGACTGTGGAGCCCTATTCTTGACCTCCATGTTCTTCCGTAGTGAGAGCATCATCTTCATTTCTAAGCTAAAGAGAGGCGGCATTGTCCATAGACGCCTCCATGGTCATGTGGCCGGCATGACTGCCTGGAGCGCCGTTACATTCCCACAGAGGCAGTACCTATTGATCTACTCACATGTGCATGTTTTCAAGCTGCTGGGTTGGCAGGAGCTGGGGATAACAGCAGGAGCTCACCCTGATCCCCGTATTCAAACTGCTGATCTTTTGGTCAGCAAGCTCAGCAGTTTAAGCTGCTGCACCACTAGGGGCTCCCATAGGCCTTCTCTAATTAGGTCTAGAAAAGGACTTACGCCAGTATTTTTAATAATTCTTTTCCAGTTGCAAAACTGTTTTTCCTTTATTTGGAATAGCATGGCTTTCCCTCCTTTTGCTTTTTTTGTTATTGTCAAGATTCTTATTCAGGTAGAGTCCATTTCTTTAACTGTTTGCACCTATCTTTCTTAGGAATACGAAGCCATCTATCTTGCAAAGTTAACTATCCAAATGATGTCGCCTCGACAGCTGGAACGGTCACTGTCTGTTAGTACAGGTGAGCAGCTCTTTCTTGTACTTAATAGCTAGATATTATTCTTGATATAATTGGTCTGTGGATACTAGTATGAGATGCCAAAATGTAGCTTTAGAATTCTCCCAAAATTAGTTGAGATCATTAAATGGGAGGTGGTTCATACTGGACATATCAGTGTGAACTTTTACAGAAGCCTCCAGGGGGTGGGGTTGTGAGGAAAGTGTGTCACAAAAATATCATTGCAGATTTGATAAATGTGGATTTGATATAGTGATGTGTGGGAATGAATGGAAGAATGGAATGATATATGAATGGAGTTAATAATTTTGGAAACACCAGTAAAATATTAAGGCCTGCAATGACTAACTACCTGCTTGCTGGACTGTACTTAAAAGTTGCTAATGACAGCTGAAAAAAATAAATTCTGATAAGAACAGGACAGTGATAACAGAAATTTTTACAATATTAAAAAGGAAGTCAACACAAGCCTTGTGTTTCTTAACACCAATCAATTTGGCCAAGAAACTGAGATGGATCCAGCATGGAAGAAGGCTATCATTAATTTACAACTTTGGGACAACATCAGCAGAATATTCCTATAAAAGACTCAGTTTAATAATGCTCAAAGTGTGGCAGACCTGCGGAGTCTGGTTCACCCGCTAAGCTCTGCTCCATGGGAAGGAGAGAGATAGTGTCCCTATGGAGAGTGTCAGATATGGGAAAGCATGATTCTGGTCACTTTGGGGCTTCTTTCTTAAGGGAGGAGGAAGAAGTGTGCTTTTGGAGTCTTAGATTTTGGGCAGGGAGTCAGGTTCTGCTGTATGGAAAACAGAGATTTAGTCCTTGGCAATGTTCTTGGGGAAGGAAGTTTTGGCATTTCGCCGTTTTGAACTTATGGCATTATGGAATATTTGGAACTGTGCATTGACAGGCTGCACGAAAGCAGGGTCTGGCCTAACGGGTGCTTCTCCAAGGAGGGAGAAAAGGGCATGGTAATATTTGAATGTCTGAAGAGGAAAGCATGTACACGTGGTGCGAATGCTGAGTGAAAATGAATTTCCCCTTTGTTTGTTTGTTAGCCATGTAATTGTAAATCCAATGTAGCTGCATATGTCTGTATGTCTGTATGTCCAATGTCATTCTTTGTCTAAATGTTTTTCTGTAATCTGATATACCCTCTCTCACTGGAAATTGCAATAAAAAGAACCTATGCTTTAAAGTCATTGAAAAGTTATTCATGACAAGTGATCATTTGAATTAAGGCCAGTATCATAGAATCATAGAATCATAGAGTTGGAAGAGACCTCATGGGCCATCCAGTCCAAACCCCATTCTGCCAAGAAGCAGGAATATTGCATTCAAAGCACCCCTGACAGATGGCCATCCAGCCTCTGTTTAAAAGCCTCCAAAGAAGGAGCCTCCACCACACTCCGGGGCAGAGAGTTTCACCGCTGAACAGCTCTCACGGTCAGGAAGTTCTTCCTCATGTTCAGATGGAATCTCCTCTCTTGTAGTTTGAAGCCATTGTTCCATTGCGTCCTAGTCTCCAGGGAAGCAGAAAACAAGCTTGCTCCCTCATCCCTGTGACTTCCTCTAACATATTTATACATGGCTATCATATCTCCACTCAGCCTTCTCTTCTTCAGGCTAAACATGGCCAACTCCTTAAGCCGCTCTTCATTGGCTTGTTCTCCAGACCCTTGATCATTTTAGTCGCCCTCCTCTGGACACATTCCAGCTTGTCAATATCTCTCTTGAATTGTGGTGCCCAGAATTGGACACAATATTCCAGGTGTGCTCTAACCAAGGCAGAATAGAGGGGTAGCATGACTTCCCTAGATCTAGACACTAGGCTCTTATTGATGCAGACCAAAATCCCATTGGCTTTTTTTGCCGCCACATCACATTGTTGGCTCATGTTTAACTTGCTGTCCACAAGGACTCCAAGATCTGGTTGAAATGGATGCAGGGGGAAGTTGAGTGGATCCTGAACAAAACTCATGTGCATGTAGTTAATAAGAATGTATTAATTATTTACATTAAGTTCTTGTGGGTTTTTTTGGGCTATATGGCCATGTACTAGAGGCATTTCTCCTGACGTTTCGCCTGCATCTATGGCAAGAGGTGAGGTCTGTTGGAACTGGGAAAAAGGGTTTATATATCTGTGGAATGACCAGGGTGAGACAAAGGACTTTTGTCAGTTGGGCTAGGTGTGAATATTTCAACTGACCACCTTGATTAGCATACAATGGGCTGACTGTGCCTGGAGCAAACTCTTCTTGAAAGGTGATTAGATGTCCCTGCCTGTTTTTCTCTCTGCTGTTTTTGCTGTTGCAGTTTTAGAATTTTTTAATACTGGTAGCCAGATTTTGTTCATTTTCATGGTTTCTTCCTTTCTGTTGAAATTGTCCACATGTTTGTGGATTTCAATGGCTTCTCTGTGTAGTCTGACATGGTGGTTGTGAGAGTGGTCCAGCATTTTTGTGTTCTCAAATAAAATGCTGTGTCCAGGTTGAAATATTCACACCTAGCCCAACTGACAAAAGTCCTTTGTCTCACCCTGGTCATTCCACAGATATATAAACCCTTTCCCCAGTTCCAACAGACCTCACCTCTGAGGATGCTTGCCATAGATGCAGGCGAAACGTCAGGAGAAATGCCTCTAGAACATGGCCATATAGCCCGGAAAAACCTGCAAGAACTTAGTGATACGAGCCATGAAAGCCTTCGACAATACAATTATTTACATTTATGCTTTTTATTTTCTGTAAATTCATCTTGGTTTTCTGGCTTGCCCTAATAAGAAGAATTTTCAGAGGCACCTTGGTCACCTAAACTAAAGCGAAACCAAAGCAGTTTTCAGAATTAGCGCTAGTTGTACTTGCTCTGTCCTTTTGGAAGGCTTTGTGTTTCCATCTTCTTGACTGCTTTCTCCAATCCCTGGCCTGCTTTCCAGGAAGCCTGAAACGTACTCACGAAGAAGATGAAGAGATCGCCAATATGCAAGCAGCAGCTCAGAACGGTTGATGCCAAGGGCCCCGCGGACTTGCTCTTTTGGGACTTTCTCTTTTGGGACTTTCTTCTTGTGGCAGCTGCTAATCTCACCAGGATGAACAACCACCGGATGTGATTTTTTAACATGGGAGATAAATCCACCTTCCTTATGCAAACCTGCTCTTCCAGTAGCACACCAAGCAACATTTTAAAGGTATTGGATCCCTTGGCTGACTAGATGGCACTGATTGTTTTACTCCTCCTGGTCTTTTTTTTTTTTACACTTCATAGTTATACCCTAAACCAAGACTTTGGACTTGCAAAGAGGTATTATTGCAATAATGCACTTTTCATACTTGAAATTTTCTTTATTTGTATTGCTAAAGTTATGACTTCGGCAAAAATGCAAGTGGGGATGATTTGTTTATAAAGTTTTGTGTAATTTATAACAAGAGTATTTAGTAAAAAAAAGAAAAAAGAAACAAATTCCTAAAATCCACTATGTTTTTGTGTTTGTTTCATTTTCTCAAGTATCTGCTTCAGGCAGAGGAAAACCAAGTTTTGGCAGTTACCAATGCATATTGCGGTGTCCACCATGAAGTAAAAATTGCAGGTTCAGTGCTGCTGCCATTTGTTTAATGGAAAACTCTAGCTGCGCTTTTGTTTCCCCTTTGGAAGGTCAAAAAGCCATTGGAAGTGTGATTTTCCTCATAAGACACCACATAGGATAAGATCAAAAGACAAATGAAATGAATATTACAGCCCACAACCAAATTGTATCTCTCTCCCCCCCCCCCCCCCCCCCCCCCCCCCCCCACCACACACACTCATAATCAAGGCCTACCATAGAATTAACCCTTTTTCCAGTAACAGAGATGAATCATAGGTTAAACGTTTCTCTCCTTGTCAAGGCTAACTTGATATGCTTGGTTGTTCGATAAGAATAATAGAATCGAAGAGTTGGAAGAAAACTCGTGGGCCATCCAGTCCAACTCCCTCCCAAGAAGCAGGAAAATCACATTTAAGGCCATCCAGCCTCTGCTTAAAAACCTCCAAGGAAGGAGTCCAGGACAGAGTTCCACTGCTGAACAGCTCTCACTCTTAGGAAGTTTTTCTTTGTGTTCCAGTGGAATCTCCTTTCTTTCAAGTCATTGTTCCATGTCTTAGTCTCAAGGGCAGCAGAAAACAAGCTTTCTCCCTCCTCCCTATGACTTCGCCTCACACCTTGATCCATGTCTCCTCTCAGCCTTCTTTTCTACAGGCTAAACATGCCGCTCCTCATAGGGCTTGTTCTCTAGACCCTTGATCCCTTGAGTCACCCTCCTCTGGACACATTCCAGCTTAGAGTCTACATCTCCCTTTAATTGCGGTGCCCAGAAAGGGACAGTGTGATTCCAGGTGTGGTCTGACCAATGCTGAATAGAATAGAGCGGGGACATGACTTCCCTGGATCCACGCAGTAGACTCTGATTGATGCAGGCCAGTTTTGGCCCATCATCTCTCTAATCTGTGAGGATCGTTTTGAATTCTGCTCTTGTCCTCTGGAGTATTGACTCTCCCTCCCAATTTGGTCCCATCTGCAAACTTGATGATCATGCCTTCTAGCCCTTCATCTAAGTCATTAATAAAGATCCTTAACAAGACTGGGAACCCTGCTTATGGCACTCCGCTCATCACTTCTTTCCAGTGATGAAGAGGATGAAGGGGAAGAGGAAGAACCCTTTTGGGGTTCATATCCCAGTATATATCATATACTAGGATACCAAGGATCTAAGTCACGATTTTGCAAAAAAATGCTTACAAAGCAAGAAGTGTGAACACCAAGGCTTTTTTTGGAAATTTCTTATATACATTTGTTGTTTATTTGTTCAGTCGCTTCCGACTCTTCGTGACCTCCTGGACCATCCTACGCCAGAGCTCCCTGTCAGCCGTCACCACCCCCAGCTCCTCAAGGTCAATTCAGTCACCTCAAGGATGCCATCCATCCATCTTGCCCTTCGTTGGCCCTTTTTCCTTTTTCCTTCCTTTTCCCCCAACATCACTGTCTTCTCCAAGCTTTCCTGTCTTCTCATGATGTGGCCAAAGTACTTCATCTTGGCCTCTAATCTCCTTCCCTCCAATGAGCAGTCAGGCTTTATTTCCTGAAGTATGGACTGGTTGGATCTTCTGGCGGTCCAAGGCACTCTCAGCACTTTCCTCCAGCACCACAGTTCAAAAGCATCTATCTTCCTTCACTCAGTCTTCCCAATGGTCTAGCTCTCACATCCATAGGTGACTACAGGGAATACTATTGCTTTAACTATGCGGATCTTGGTTGCCAGTGTGATGTCTCTACTCTTCACTATTTTATCGAGATTGGTCCTTGCTCTCCTCCCAAGAAGGAAACGTCTCCTGATTTCCTGGCTGCAGTCCGCATCTACAGTAATGTCTGCACCTAGAAATACAAATACTGCCTCCACGTTTTCTCCCTCTAACTTACTTAATGTTTAATCCCCATTCTTCCTTCAGGGACCTCATGGGGGATATATGTTAGAATCTCCGCAGTGAGTGCCTTCCAATGGTTGTTAACCAATTAACAATTAACTCTTTTTAAAATACAAGTTATGATGGGAAGTAGATAGGAGCTGGGATCTCTTTGTAGAGACACCAGAAACAGGATATTGATGCTTCTCCCTTCATCAGCACAAATGTAGTAACTAATAGTGTACTTTATTAGAATCTAAGTGTTGCAGACAACATGATTTGTGGGAACGCTATGATCCTGCTATTTGCCTCTAAGAGAAACTCTCTAAGGTGGACTAAAGTGAATGGGATTTTAAGGCTACTGCTGACAGGTATGATTTCCTCACACTACATTAAGAGGAAATGGCATCAGGGTGAAAGGAACACGGGCAACTTAAAAAGCTCACAATTTGGCTTTAGGACATTTCTAAAAGTTTGCTAGAGAACAAATAGAGCATTTCTTAAACATAGAATTACAAAGCAAAACATAGTTGTTGAAGTAGAATAATTGGGCCACTTTGGTACTTCTGAAATTAGTCCTGCTTATATGTGGGCTCTCAGGTTGGAGGAGAGCTGCCATCTCATGTAAAGAGGGGCTGTACTTTGTTCATGCAAAGTGCACTTACTAGCCTTTTAGCAGATTTCATTCACACTGAGTTAAAATAGTGACTTCTACTGGTCTCCTTTCTTAAGGAGTTAAGATGCCTGCTTTTCTGCAGTACTGAAGATCTTCACCTCGACCACTGTGGGGCTTCTAGTGGCTTTTAGGAAAAAAACAACATTATTTTCCCCATCCCAAGTGCCTAGGTAAAACCTATACCTTTTTCTTTTTGGTATGAATTGTTTTAGATTTTTTCCCACGCTAGCTCCATTTAGTGAAGCCAGTTTAAATATTTTCTCTCTGCTCAGCCAGCCTTTTATTTGTGTTCTCTCTTGACAAAAGAGCGCCTAGCAGTGTATTAGAAGAGGACGACATAAAGGTAATAGCAGCTTCTCCATTTCATATCAAAGAGCACAGATTCTGAAAGGCTCTGACTACAAAACGGGTCATTTTTGGCATTAGTACATGCCATTAAAAGCCAAGTTACTAAGTGTCTTAGTGACTCATCTTCCAGCAAGACACCAGCCAACATCTGTAATTCAAATGGAGATGACTGATTTCCATGTTCACGGTCTAGACACGACTGAGAAGCACATTCGGAGAACATTCTAGAGAAGTAAGAGTCATGGTTTCCCGTGAACTGTATGCATTTGTCCTAAATGAATGAACCGCACTCACACTTCATACTCTGAGGGAAGGAGCCTCCGACTCCGAAGTCAGCCAGAAATAAAGTGAAATTTTGAACTGAATTATACCGTAACACATTTTTTCTTTATTTTCATTTGACAATGCTTTTAAAAAAATAAATAAAACTTAAACATCTCCCAAAAAGTCAAGAGTGCCCCGAAACACAGGAAATGGGATCCTTTCTTAAAGCAGCCTTTCGGTAATATTTTATAAAGCTAATGACTCAACTATAAAACCCTTCTCTAATAACCTTCATATTCCCTGAAGCTATACTATGACCACCCCCTTCCAGTTGAAATGGCAAGAGGGGAGCTGTAGGCTTAGTTACCACTTGATGGTAAGAAGTGCTGAATTGTTTATAATAATAATAATAATAAAGGAAAATAAGATTAAACACAGAAAACCTGCGAAACCGACTTTGGATTTATGCAATCTATGGACTGGGATGTTCCTAAAGAAGATGGCTTTTTTTGCAAAGAAAAGAGATGACAACCTAAGCAGGAAAGATATGTTCTCATGCGCTTTCTTTGCAGCAAGACCTACAGTGAGCGCTATGCATTTTCAGAGCCACAAGAGTATTTTGCCTCTCGATGCATTTTAAAAATTGTGAAATGCTCCATGCCCAGGTTTTTGCTCGTGGTTTGAGGTATTAAACTGCATGAGAAAGCGGAGGCTCATTCTGTCTGCATCCGTTTCCACCCGCTGTTATTGCCGTGGGACCAATAAAACCACCCACACTTTTGAGAGTTGTCACCAGAGGCTTGTAAAAAAACTGAGGTTCCTTAATGCCAACACAGAAATAGTTAACTCTGGCCCAGATGTGTGTTTTCTATTCCTGTGTGACCCAAAAAAAATTACACAAATGGGCCCAGCTTCAGTTACAACCACAATCTGGCTGCCAACAAAAAGCAGCAGATCTCTTGGGCGCAAAACACAAGGCGAGAAAAAACACCAGGTAAAAACCCAAACCGACATTGTTGTCGCATTTTGCTCAAGTCCCAGCTATCAAAAAGCGGTGTGTAGTACACACAGTAGGAAACAGCTTTGAATAGGTTTCGCTGTTGTCAAGGAAACCCAAAGTAATTTGTCTTCGGTACCAAAGTATTTGTCAAGGTGATTACTTCTTTTGCAGCAAATTTGTTTTCCTAGAGAACGAAGACAGTCGCAGAAACGCCTCCACCAAAAGTTCATTGCAGGAAATGACAGCTGGAAGTTCGTTAATTGAAGAACCTTTGACACATGTAATTTTCTTCAGACACGGAGTATCCTATTTTTTCGTAGAAGGCTACGTTTTTTGGGAGGCACTCGAGGGTGATTTTGTAGCAGTTCAGTCTCTTGCTCAGCAACCTGAGAGTTGACATCAGCCTAAAAGAAGGCAGATTAATACTTTGAATTAAACAGGAAACGCATTAGAATAACAATTTCAGACTACATGGAAGCAAGGACCAGTGTGTAAATGCCCCAAACAAACATACAGTAGAGTCTTGTTTATCCAACCTTCACTTATCCAATGTTTTGTATTATCCAACACCCAGATCCACAGGTAAGGGGAGTGTATATTTACCTGCAGGATAATGTCCAGGGTGGGAGAAAGAAAGAACCCTTGTCTGTTTTGGTGCTGAATTTGTAAATACAGTAATTACTACATAATGTTACTGTGTACTGAACTGCTTTTTCTGTTGATGTGTTGTAAAACATGTTCTGGTGCTTAATTTGTAAAATCACAGGCTTTTCTTTAATCCCTCTTTATTATCCAACCTTTTTGCTTATACAATGTTCTGCTGGCCCATTTATGTTGGATAAGCGAGAGACTACTGTAGTTATCATGAGTGTATCTACCTTCCATTGCCCAGGTGTCATGGGCAGTTGTCTCCCTGCTTTCATCCCTTCTTTCTTTCTCTCCAATCATACTTTTTTCCCTTTTCTCTTCTTTTCTTCCTTCCTTTTCCTTTCATCCCCCTTCTTCCCTTCTCTTTACCTTTCCCTTTCTTTCCTTTCTCCCTTCTCCAGCTCTGAGAGGGCCTCCCTCACACTGTAACATAGCTGTCTTTATGGCTCTTTCCTCTCTTCCCATACAGATATCACTTAAACCAAATCTCTTTTCTCTAATTTGTCACTGCTTCCCTCTTTTAATTGGGAATTAACCTGTTATGTACTACAAAAATGAGTAGGAATGTGGGTAGTTTAGGACACTGAAGTTAATACTTTTATAAGTTACTAGCCGTCCCCTTCCACGCGTTGCTGTGGCCCACTCTGGTGGTCATGGGGGTTCTGTGTGGGAGGTTTGGTCCAATTCTATCGTTGCTGGGGTTCGGAATGCTCTGTGATTCTAGGTGAACTATAAATCCCAGCAACTGCAACTCCTAAATGTCAAGATTCTATTTTCCCCAAACTCCACCAGTGTTCACATTTGGGCGTATTGAGTATACATGTAGAGTTTGGTCCAGATCCATCATTGTTTGTGTCCACAGTGTTCTCTGGATGTAGGTGAACTACAACTCCCAAACTCAACATCAATGCCCACCAAACCCTTCTAGTGTTTTCTGTTGGTCATGGGAGTTCTGTGTGCCAAGTTTGATTCAATTCCATCATTGGTTGAGTTCAGAATGTTCATTGATTGTAGGTGAACTATAAATCCCAGCAACTACAACTCCCAAATGACAAAATCAATTTTTTTGAGTGAAGGACATAGATTGGCTTGTTAGGTGTCTTATGTCCAAATTTGGTGTCAATTCGTCCAGTGGTTTTTGAGTTCTGTTAATCCCACAAACGAACATTACATTTTTATTTATATAGATACTAGCTGTACCCTCCACGCATTGCTGTGGCCAACCTTCCCTCCCTCTTTCTTTCTCTCCTTCCTTTCCTCCCTTCCCCCTTTTTCTTTCCCTTCTCCTTTCTCTCCTTTCTTCCTTCTCTTCATCCTTCCTCCCTTCCTTCCTTTGCTCTTTGGTCCCATCTTCCCTTCCTTCTCTCTTTCTTTCCTTCTTTCCCTCTCTCTCTCCTTTCCTTCTTCCTTCCCTCTCTTTTTCCTTCTTTTCTTCTTTTTCTTTCCTTCTCTCCTTCCTTCTTTCCTTCCTTTTCTTTCCCTCCCTCATTCACTCCTTCCTTCTCTACCTCTTTCTTTCCTTCTCTGCTTTTTTCCTTCTTTCCCTCCCTCCTTCATTCCTTCCTTCTAGACATAGGCCGGAAAAGAGTTGGGCTCGAAGGCAGCGCTTGAGAGAGGTTCGTCCCTGCTCTCTCTGCAGAGCAAAGGACTCCATGGTTAGTAAGCCATGCATCTACATCTGTATTGTCATTTAGCTTTTGGGGTTTTTTAAGTCCTTTCTTCTGCTTTTTGGGTTTTTTTAATGAGTGATGGTCACTTGTTGGTCTGTTAAGAGTGTAGTGTCCAAATTTGGTGTCAATTCATCCAGTGGTTTTTGAGTTATGTCAATCCCAGAAACGAACATCATTTTTATTTATATACATAAATAAATGCATTTTAACAGCATATGTGAAAACGTCCAATGGTAGAGCATATTTGTTTAGATCAGGCATGGGCCAACTTGGGCCCTCCAGGTGTTTTGGACTTCAACTCCCACCATTCCTAACAGCCCCAGGCCCTTTCCTTTTCCTCTCATCAGCCACTTAAGCCTGAGGCTGTTAGGAATTGTGGGAGTTGAAGTCCAAAACACCTGGAGGGCCCATGCCAGGTGCAGACCACCTGTAATTAAAGCACACCTTTCTCAAGATGGGAAACAATTACAATAACATAAAGCTACTTACAATTTCCCAAGTTGTTTTCCGCGACAGTCTCCATTTACGACAACGTCTTCTATCCTTCCCCTCTGAAAAACAGGCACAAATATTTAGCAATCGAGAACCACAAAGTAGGGAGAGCATAAGATAGGCATCGGCAGCCCTCCAGGCATTTTGGACTTCAACTCCCACCATTCCTAACAGCCTCAGGCCCTTTCCTTTTCCCCCTCAGGCCGCTTAAGCGGCTGAGGGGGAAAAGGAAGGGGCCTGAGGCTGTTAGGAATTGTGGGAGTTGAAGTCCAAAATGCCTGGAGGGCCAAAGTTTGCCCATGCCTGGCATAAGATATTTATTTATTTAAGGTAACAGGTTTTCTTCTTCTTCATGGCACCTACCTTTGCACACGAGTGAGTGAATTTATGCTCTATGACCAGAGTTGCAGTCGCCACAATCTCTCCTAGATTAGTGTCTTCTACGACGATGATATAGTAGTCCCCAGAACTCTTCATGTGTTCAAAGGTTTCTACAGAAAGACAGGCAATAAACAATTGAGCATTGATTTGGTACCAGCTTGGGGACCCGGCAACGGCCAGGTTATTTGAGAAAGACATTGTTTATCTGTGCGCTAAGTTTAGTCTAGATCCAATGTCGGCTGGGTTCAGTGGGCGCAGGTGAACTACAAGTCTCATATGTAAGTCCCATACTCCATGGTTCAAAGTCTTCCAAACCACACCAGGATGTAGAGTGGGTCATTCAAGTAAATACACTATTTACTTGAATGACCCACTCTACATCCTGGTGTGGTTTGGAAGACTATGAACCATGTCTTCTGTGTGCCAAGTTTGGTCTCGATCAGTCATTGGTGTGGTTTGCAGTGGTCTCAGCAAGTGACTGAAGGTATTGCAAGTCCCATTGTCCATAGTCTGTCATTCCACAGACCATACCAGGACGTAGAGTGGGTCGTGAGGGCTCTGTGTGCCAAGTTTGATCTTGATGAGAAATTGGTGTGGGTTGCAATGGTCTAAGGAAGTGAGCGAAGGTACTGCAAGTTCCATCGTCCATGGTCCGTCATTCCACAGACTGTACCAGGACGTAGAGTGGGTCACGTTGGGTCTTGATCCATCACTGGTGTGGGTCACAGTGTTCTCTGGAAGTGAGTGAAGGTACTGTAAGTCCCATCATCCATGGTCCTGCCTCCTCCAACCCAAACCAGGATGTAAAGTGGGTCATCGGGGGGTTCTGTGTGCCAAGTTTGGTCCAGTTTTGTCATTTGTGGGCATCACAGTGGTGTGTGGGTGGTATATTGGATGAAGATACTGCAAATCCCATCATCCGTGGTTGGGCCCCCCACCAAACTGTACCAGGACATTAAGTGGGCCGCATTGTGTCTGTGTGCCAAGTTTAGTCCAGGCTTGTCATTCATGGAAGTAATCTCCAGAAGTGAGTGAAGGTACTGCAAATCCCATCGTCCATGGCCCATCCTAACCCAAACCGCACCAGGATGTAAAGTGCTACCTCACATTTGCCTTCATAAATGGTTCTCCAGTGGATACTTACTCGTGAATTGCTCAGGATTGACAACTCCAATCTCAGTCAGCTGACTCAGGACTTTTAAAAATCCTGCAAATCAAAATGTACATCAGGGTTTTGTTTTGTTTTTTGGACTCTTGACATTTCAATATACAGAAAGATCTGTGAAAAATTACAAGCTGGAAATCAAAGCAACGAGTGGGGATCATCAGTCTTCCGAGTGCAGTAAAACCTGAACACTGTGAAGGCTGCTGTTCACCAAAGTGAATAAAATATACAACGAAGGCGACTGTCCACCAGCAAAAAGAATAATAAAAACCGGCAACAATCTATAAATAAGCAGAGCATCAAGATTTAATAAAACTGATAATAATGCTTCAAGTAAAATAGAAGAAAATTTAAGTTTAAAGAAGTAGGCAGGACCGACCATCCTGCAAAGGCATTTTCCTACCCAAGTGACTTTTTAAAACTGTTGCAATTTATTCTGCCCATTTCATTTCCTAATTGCTTCTATCTTAAAAATATGGGAAGGGTTTATTAAACTGCAAACATTTTGGCTTTATGGGAGGGACATCCTGCAGCACATTTTGCTATCATTTATTTTATTTATTTCATAGAATCATAGAATCAAAGAACTGGAAGAGACCTCATGGGCCATCCAGTCCAACCCCATTCTGCCAAGAAGCAGGAATATTGCATTCAAATCACCCCTGACAGATGGCCATCCAGCCTCTGTTTAAAAGCTTCCAAGGAAGGAGCCTCCACCACACTCCCTCCGGGGCAGAGAGTTCCACTGCTGAACGGCTCTCACAGTCAGGAAGTTCTTCCTCATGTTCAGATGGAATCTCCTCTCTTGTAGTTTGAAGCCATTCCTCCATTGCGTCCTAGTCTCCAGGGAAGCAGAAAGGAAGCTTGCTCCCTCCTCCTCCCTGTGGCTTCCTCTCACATATTTATACATGGCTATCATATCCCCTCTCAGCCTTCTCTTCTTCAGGCTAAACATGCCCAGCTCCTTAAGCTGCTCCTCATAGGGCTTGTTCTCCAGACCCTTGATCATTTTAGTCGCCCTCCTCTGGACACATTCCAGCTTGTCAATATCTCTCTTGAATTGTGATGCCCAGAATTGGACACAATATTCCAGGTGTGGTCTAACCAAAGAGTAGGGCATGGGGAGCATGACTTCCCTAGATCTAGACACTAGGCTCCTCTTGATGCAGGCCAAAATCCCATTGGCTTTTTTTGCCGCCACATCACATTCCTGGCTCATGTTTAACTTGTTGTCTATGAGGACTCCAAGATCTTTTTCACACGTACTGCTCTCGAGCCAGGCATTGTCCCCCATTCTGTATCTTTGCATTTCGTTTTTCCTGCCAAAGTGGAGTATCTTGCATTTGTCACTGTTGAACTTCATTTTGTTAGTTTTGGCCAATCATCTCTCTAATCTGTCAAGATCGTTTTGAATCCTGCTCCTGTCCTCTGGAGTCTTGGCTCTCCCTCCCAATTTGGTGTCGCCTGCAAACTTGATGATCCTGCCTTCTAGCCCTTCATCTAAGTCATTAATAAAGATGTTGATCAGGACCGGGCCCAGGACGGAACCCTGCTGATGGCACTCCGCTCGTCACTTCTTTCGGATATTTGTACCCTGCCCTTCTCAGATATTTAATTTTTCAATTAATATCTCCTAGAGACTCAGCCAATTCCATATAGTTTGTGGAGCGCAACAAATATTTGCAAAGTCAGGACTGCACATTTATTAAAAAAAAATTATTGAAATTTTCCAATTAGGAAAAACAATTAGGTAAAACACAGGAAAAGGGAGAAAAGTTAGGGATGTGGTGGGTGTACTGCGTGAGGACCGCACATTTAAACAGGAAATAACACTTTCAAACCAGGGATAGATTTTTTTCCAAATTGTTACAAACTGTTTTTCATCAGGTTTGACTGTAATTGATTTGTGTGATTTCCTATGTATAGTACTTGGTAAAGTGACACCAAAATTGTCCACATGCTTCTTGTGTATTTCAATGGCTTCTCTGTGTAGTCTGACATGGTGGTTGTGAGCGTGGTCCAGCATTTGTGTGTTCTCAAATAATATACTGTGTCCAGGTTGGTTCATCAGGTGCTCTGCTATGGCTGGTTTATCTGGTTGAAGTAGTGTATTTGAGAACACAGAAATGCTGGACCACTCTCACAACCACCATGTCAGACTACACAGAGAAGCCACTGAAATCCACAAGCATATGGACAATTTCAACAGAAAGGAGGAAACCATGAAAATGAACAAAATCTGGCTACCAGTATTAAAAAATTCTAAAATTAGAACAGCACAACAACAGAGAGGGAACAATCAGGGACATCTAATCACCTCCCAACAAAAGATTGCCCCAGGCACCAACAAGCCACACCAAACAACTGCCAGGCCATCAATCAAGGTGGTCAGTTGAAACATTCACACCTAGCTCCAGCAGACAAGGGTTCTTTGTCCCACCCTGGTCATTCCACAGATATATAAACCTAATTTTCCTAGTTCCAACAGATCTCACTACCTCTGAGGATGCTTGCCAGAGATGCAGGCGAAATGTCAGGAGAGAATGCCTCTAGAACATGGCCATATAGCCCCCCCCAAATTACAACAACCTAGTGATTCCGGCCATGAAAGCCTTCGAAAATAAATTGGCAGTATTATGTGTAGCACAAACATAAAGCTTGGTCAAAATTTCAGGTCTTTATCTTCGATTGCATGGTAATTGCTGCAGTCTGAATATTGGTCAAAATTGGTCACGACACATTTTGATGCACACTTTTGAGTCAACTTGTTTGACTGGATTTTGCATCCATAATGTTAAAATTAATTTCATCGGAATCAGCAGGAAAAAAAGTTGTACAGGATTTCAATTTGTTAGCCATTCTTACACATTTTGTTTCTCAAAAATGGCATTTTCTTAAATGTTGTACAAACGCTGACTGACCACCCTTCAGATAAGGGTGGGTCTATTGATTATTTATTTATTTACAGTATTTATATTCCGCCCTTCTCATCCCGCAGGGGACTCAGGGTGGATCCTAATGCACATATACACGGCAAACATTCAATGCCGTAGACACACAACATATATAGACAAACACACAGAGGCTATTTAACTTTCCTGCTTCATGAGGGTATGCTTTTAATTCCAGCCACCGGGGGAGCTTTCGCTTCACCGTCCACTTGTGACACTGATGGAGTACTTCATCTTTCTTTTGCATGCTGCTGGAGAGTTTTATGGCGTCGTAAATTAGTTAAATCAGCCTCCCCGCATAAGTGGTACCTAAATTTCCTACTTGACAGATACAACTGTCTTTCGGGCTGCAAAGGTCGACAGAAAGCTAGACAATGGCCGGAAGCTCACTCCAACCCTGGCTGGCTTCGAACTTATGATCTCTCGGTCAGTAGTGATTTTAATGCAGCTGACTCCCAACCAGCTGCACCACAACCCGGTCTAGATCAGCAACTATTGCAGTTAGAGACCTCGCATTTTGGTAAACTTAGTTTAACATCTGACTGGCGCTACAGCTAAAATTTGAATTTGAAAATGGAGAACATGATGGTGGGACGGTTTAGACCACTTGGCACGGAATGACCCTAAGCATAATCTCAGCAAACCTAACATAAGATGTGTACATTTCTAGATTATGACTTGAAAGAATGCTGCACAGATCATTCGCAAATGAGGAAGATACCTCTGTTGATGTCAGCAGAGCAAAGGGGTCTCAGGACCAGGCCGTCGCCGGGATCCATGGGCGAAATGGCCGGGGAGAAGGTCACAGTGTTCTGGCTCCAGTCCAAATCTCGGAGGAGCTGAGGATCAAACATCGGGGTGCTGCTGGGCTTCGTGGTTTCCGTCGGCATCATGGCAGCCGCGACTGTGGGCTGGTGCACTGAAAGAGAAGGACATCATTGGCTCCAACTGATATTTTCAAGTCTTCCAACATTATTCTGCGTTTGATTAGCTTTAAGTTTGTGCATGTTGCAACTCAGGGTAGTTTACACCTTACTCCAGACACCACCACACCAAGGCTTATTGAGAAAAGCAAAATCAAAACAAAGAAATAGACATGCAATAGCTCCATAGGCAAAACAGAGACTTAAATGTAAAGGCAAAATTCCCAAGATCCAAAGGCAAAAACATGAAGCGAAATCCTTTAGCAATGGTCAAACAAAAGTCCATGGTAAACAGTTGAAAACAAGACCCAAATCCCAGACTCAGGAAGCCAGAAGCGTGCTGCGAAAAGCCAAGGAAAATCTCCAGAAGTTAACATGGGAAGAGCAATGTTGGACTGACAACAACTGCCTGTCAGCTACAAGACTAAATACCCTTTGCGAACATGAAAGCATTGCGTTGACCTTAGGCACCTTTGGCTTCTCGCTTGCTGGCCAAGTGAGTGCTTCTCCGAAGCCTTAATTGGAAACGGTCTTGTCTGCTCATTAATTCATTATCTGCAAGGCTATGCAACCCCTTATCTGGGTCCAGCTGGGAAAGATCCTCCACCTGGCCGTGTGGGATTTCACTCTCGCTATCAGTCTCTCTAACTGCAGGAACATTCCTTTCCCCGGGGAACTGACTTGTTGTTTCTCCTTCAGCAGCCACACTATCAGCCCCGTCTGAAACATGAATCTGTAACCCACCAGCCTCCTCGTCACCCTGCAGGAAATCAGGCTCGGAAGGCCCAAAATCAGGCTCAGAAGGTCCAAACAGCTCAGCTTCACAATCAGAGTCACGCTGAGTCACAACAGTGCATCACAAGCATGGTCAAACTAAAAGAATCCCACACCGTGTGCGACTGTGGAGCAGAACAGACAACTCCGCATCTGTATGCTTGTTCACTATGCCCTGCCTCATGTACAGAGGAAGAATTGTTGGAGGCTACAGACAATGCCGTTGCTGTTGCCTGTTTCCGGTCAAAAGATATTTAGCCACCTGCGCTCCTTCTATTTTTATCGGTTTTATAGTAATTTATGCAATGCTTTTGATAAGAAATTAAAAAATGGGCAAACTTCCTACCGGCTGTTAGGAATTGTGGGAGCTGGAGTCCAAAACACCTGGAGGGAGGGCCAACGTTTGCCCAACTGTAAATGTGAATTATCAGCAATTAATGATATCGTAAGCCCAGTTTATGATCTCGCAACTATGGACAACATGCCAACCAAAAAAAAAATCTATTTACTTTTGGATCTCTTGACGTAACAAAAGGTTAATGGCATCAAGAGAATATTTATTTTCCATCCCATGGATCAAAAACCCCAATATCACAACCAGGAGGGTTAAATCAACATCACAACTCTTTTGAGTACAAACGTCCAGATTAAAAAGTCCCAACTTGGGAGGACAACTTTTTCCGCTGAAGGCAATGTTTGGGATGACTCCAGGTTGTTTTGCAATTCTTATTGTACTATTCGGTTTTGCAATTGGTATTGTACTGTTCGACACTGGATCAAGAAATGACTCGAGCAGCCAAGACCTCCTCCCACAAAAGCACGATCAGTCTTGACCAATACTATGGCCCATGATGCTAGAACAGCTAGCCAGAAATCTGTTTCCATTTTGAGGTCTATGGGCCCCTTCAAGCTAAAGCCAAAATTGCATCTACACTAGAATTAATGCGGTTTGATGACACTTTAACTGCCATGACTCAATGCTATGGCGATCTGCATTTCGCGGAGTCATCACCACTCTTTGGCAGAGAAGGCTCAAGACCTAAGGAAGTGTTTCTCAACCTTCCAATGCTGCGACCCTTTAATGCAGTTCCTCATTTGTGGTGACCCTCAACCATAACATTATTTTTGTTGTTACTTCATAACTATATTTTTGCTACTGTTATGCATCGCCATGTAAATATCTGATATGCAGGATGTATTTTCATTCACAAATACCCAATATGCCCAAATTTGAATACTGGTGGGGTTGGGGAGGATTGATTTTGTCATTTGGGAGTTGTAGTTGCTGGGATTTATAGTTCACCTACAATCAAAGAGCATTCTGAACTCCGCCAATGATGGAAGTCAACCAAACTTGGCACACAGAAATCCCATGACCAAAAGAAAATACTGGAACGGTTTTGGAGTTGTAGTTCACTTACATCCAGACAGCACTGAGGACACAAACAATGATACATCTGGACCAAACTTGGCAAGACAGATTGATTTTGGCACCTGGGAGTTGTAGTTGCTGGGATTTATAGTTCACCTACAATCAAAGAACATTCTGAACACCACCAATGATGGAATTGAACCAAACTTAGCACACAGAACTCCCATGACCAGCAAAAAATACTGGAAGGGTTTGGTGGGCATTGGCCTTGAGTTTGGGAGTTGTAGTTCACCTACATCCAAAGAGCTCAAACAATGATAGATCTGGACCAAACTTGGCAAGAATACTCAAGATGCCCAAATGTGAACACTGGTGGAGTTTGGGGAAAATAGACCTTGGCATTTGGGAGTTGTAGTTGCTGGGATTTGTAGTTAACCTACAATCAAAAGACATTCTGAACACCACCAACAATGGAATTGAACCAAAATTGGCACACAGGACTCCCATGACCAACAGAAAATACTGGAAGGCATTGACCTTGAGTTTGGGAGTTGTAGTTCACCTACATCCAAAGAGCTCAAACAATGATAGATCTGGACCAAACTTGGCAAGAATACTCAAGATGCCCAAATGTGAACACTGGTGGAGTTTGGGGAAAATAGACCTTGGCATTTGGGAGTTGTAGTTGCTGGGATTTGTAGTTAACCTACAATCAAAAGACATTCTGAACACCACCAACAATGGAATTGAACCAAAATTGGCACACAGGACTCCCATGACCAACAGAAAATACTGGAAGGCATTGACCTTGAGTTTGGGAGTTGTAGTTCACCTACATCCGGAGATCACTGTGTGCTTAAACAATGATAGATCTGGACCAAACTTGGCACGAATACCCAATATGCCCAAACGTGAACACTGGTGGAGTTGACATTGACATTTAGGATTTGCAATAGCCAGAATTTATAGTTCACCTACAATCAAATAGAATTCTGAACCCCACCGACGATAGAATTGGGCCAAACTTCCCACACAGAACCCCCATGACCAACAGAAAATACTGGAAGGGTTTAGTGGGTATTGACCTTGAGTTGTGGAGTTGTAGTTCACCTATATCCAGAGAGCACCGGGGACACAAAAACAATGATAGATCTGGATCAAACTTGGCATGAATACTCAATATACCCAAATGTGAATACTGGTGGAGTTTGGAGATAATAGACCTTGACATTTAGATTTGCAGTAGCCGGGATTTATAGTTCACCTACAATCAAATAGAATTCTGAACCCCACCAATGATAGAATTGGTGTTCGCCAAAGGTGTTCCTAATACCATCAGAAATATGTGTTTTCTGATGGTCATTGGCGACCCCCCCCCCAGGGGTTCCGACCCCCAGGTTGAGGAACACTGAACTAAGACTACAACTCCCATTATTGTATAGCATTGAACATTAGCAGTTAAAGTAGTCTCAAACTCCATCATTTTTACAGTGAAGGTGGAGCCCAAACTCAGAAGAGACATACATGTACCCTGTATGTAAAATACATACAAGGAAACTCTACAGCGGAGAGTCAATGGTGAATGATTAAAGGTATATGATATGCAGCAAATGTTTGCCGTAAGGTGGAGAAAGCAAACAAGGAAATGGCTCTTCCTGCGCTGCCACCTTGGCGGATGCAGCTTCCTCTTTGCTCACCTGGTGCATTAACTTGATCGTTATGCATTTAATTAGTTTATATGCCTTTCTCCCAACATTTAGACTCAAAGCGGTTTCCAGAACAATTCATGAAAAGCATCATCAAGCAATCAATACCATTTCATATCAAGATGATTATGACAAAATCAAGCATTCAATCATCTATATAAATAAAAATGTAATGTTCGTTTGTGGGATTAACAGAACTCAAAAACCACGGACGAATTGACACCAAATTTGGACACAAGACACCTAACAACCCAATGTATGTCCTTCACTGAATTTTTTTTTGATTTTGTCATTTCGGAGTTGTAGTTGCTGGGATTTATAGTTCACCTACAATCAAAGAGCATTCTGAACTCCACCAATGATGGAATGGAACCAAACTTGGCACACAGAACTCTCATGGCCAACAGAAAACACTAAAAGAGTTTGGTGGGCATTGGCCTTGAGTTTTGGAGTTGTAGTTCACCTACAATCACAGAGCATTCTGAACCCCACCAACGAGGAAATTGAACCAAACTTGGCACACAGTTCTCCCATGACCAACAGAAAACACTAGAAGGTTTGGTGGGCATTGACCTTGAGTTTTGAAGTTGTAGTTCACCTACAATCAAAGAACATTCTGAACCCCACCAACGATGGAATTGAACCAAACTTGGCACACAGTTCTCCCATGACCAACAGAAAACACTAGAAGGGTTTGGTGGGCATTGACCTTGGATTTTTGAAGTTGTAGTTCACCTACAATCAAAGAGCATTCTGAACCCCACAAACGATGGAATTGAACCAAACTTGGCACACAGTTCTCCCATGACCAACAGAAAATACTGGAAGGGTTTGGTGGGAAGTGTCCATTGATTTTGGAGTTGTAGTTCACCTACATCCAGAGAGCACCGTGGACTCAAACAATGATGGATCTGGACCAAACTCTACACAAATACTCAATGTGCCCAAATGTGAACACTGGTGGAGTTTGGGGAAAATAGAATCTTGACATTTGGGAGTTGTAGTTGCTGGTATTTATATTTCACCTTCAATCAAAGAGCATTTTGAACTCCACCAACGATAGAATTGGGCCAAACCTCCCACACAGAAATCCCCATGACCAACAGAGTTGGCCACAGCAACGCGTGGCAGGGGACGGCTAATGTGTGTGTGTATGCAAAGATACATACACATTCAGGAGCAGGAGCAGAGAGCTTTGAGATGGTTGAACAGAAGCTCTCCGAAGCTCTAGGTGCTCTTACTGCCTATTACAGGGAAAACCAGCTGATCCCTAATCCATCTAAAACACAGACGTGTGCTTTTCACCTTAAGAACAGACAAGCATCCCGAGCTCTGAGGATGACCTGGGAAGGAAGGAATCCCACTGGAGCATTGCAGCGCACCCAAATACCTGGGAGTCACTCTGGACCGTGCTCTGACCTACAAGAAGCACTGCCTGAACATCAAGCAAAAAGTGGGCGCTAGAAACAATATCATACGAAAGCTGACTGGCACAACCTGGGGATCACAACCAGACACAGTGAAGACATCTGCCCTTGCGCTATGCTACTCTGCTGCTGAGTGTGCATGCCCAGTGTGGAACACATCTCACCACGCTAAAACAGTGGATGTGGCTCTTAATGAGACATGCCGCATTATCACAGGCTGTCTGCGCCCGACACCACTGGAGAAATTACACTGTCTAGCCCCATGATGGTGAACCTATGACACGCGTGTCAGCACTGACACACATGGCTATTTTTGATTACATGCAGCCACATGCGGCCGCATACAGAGAAGTACACCTTATAAGAGCCAATCTAATTCCATCCTTAAATTTGTAAAAGGCTTTACAAATTTAACATCTGCAGGTTTGAGCATTGTTCACTCCATAACTCAGCCTGGAATATACATTTTTCTTATTTAAACTATAAATATTGCAAAATTATGATTTTTTTCTCTCTCGAAGTTGACACCCCACCCAAGTTATGCTCTGGTCTTTGGCAAATTTTGACACACCACGCTCAAAAGTTTGCTTATCACTGGTCTAGCCGGTATTGCACCACCTGACATCCGCCGGGAAGTAGCAACCAGTAGTGAAAGGACCAAGGCAGTGACATCTCCAGCTCATCCCCTGTTTGAATATCAGCCAGCATGCCAACACCTTAAATCAAGACATAGTTTTCTTAGATCTACAGAGACACTTGCTGGAACACCCCAGCAAGCGAGAGTCCAAAAGTGGCAGGCCCAAACCCAGCACCTCAATCCATGGGTGATACCAGATGAGAGACTCCCCCCTGGGCACTCAGAAGACTGGGCGACTTGGAAGGCGCTGAACAGACTGCGCTCTGGCACCACGAGATGCAGAGCCAACCTTAAGAAATGGGGCCACAAAGTGGAGTCCACAACATGCGAGTGTGGAGAAGCGCAAACCACTGACCACCTGCTGCAATGCACCCTGAGCCCTGCCACATGCACCATGGAGGACCTTCTTGCAGCAACGCCAGAGGCACTCCAAGTGGCCAGATACTGGTCAAAGGACATTTAGTATAATGCCAAGTTTGCAAACTTTGTGTTTTCACAAATACATTGGCACGATACATAAATAAACCCAAATATGGGTTTAAACAGCCACCAGAATCTCTTGTTTTCCTCTCTTATGCAGGTATAATAACAGACCAGGTATAATGCTTTGATGTATGAATACAGACCATCCCTCAGGTGCTCATTAACCTTTTGACATCGGTAGGAAAAATTCATATTAAGCAACATTCTCCTATTGCAAAAACCAATCCTATCCGGTTCTCAAATCATTGTGTCCACTTTTTGGTTCCAAAAACTATGAAGCCAACCAGGCATGAATACTATTTCAGAGCCCTTGAATTAATGGGGATTTATAGGCATGTGCCCGGTGGCGCAGCAGCTTAAACCGCTGAACTTGCTGACCAAAAGGTCGGCGGTTCGAATCCGGGGAGCAGGGTGAGCTCCCACTGTTAGCCCCAGCTCCTGCCAACATAGCAGTTCGAAAACATGCAAATGTGAGTAGATCAATAGGTACCACTCCGGCAGGAAGATAACTCTGCTCTATGCAGTCATGCCGGCCACATGACCTTGGAGGTGTCTATGGACAACACCGGCTCTTCAGCTTAGAAATTGAGATGAGCACCAGAGTTGGATACAACTAGATTTAATGTCAGGGGGAAACCTTTACCTTATACGCATGTCAATTCACTATTACGTGGTTTAGATCAGAGCCCCTGAATTAATAGGATGTATAGGGATGTACATATAAATAATAATAATAATAATAATAATTCATTATTACATGGTCTATTCTACATGAGAGTTGAAGGATTGTCAAAGGATTGTCTGCTTTGACAATCTGGATTATCCTCTTTGGTAATCTGGATTGTCTGCTGTGATAATCCGGATTATCTTGCCCGATAATGCAGATTATCCGCTTTGATATTCTACATGATCCTCTTTGGCAATCTGGATTGTCCACTTTGATAATCCAGATAATTCACTCTGATAATCCGGATTACCTTTCTTTGTCCACTGTGATAATCCAGATTATTCTGTTTAATAATCCGGATTATCCGCTTTGTCTACTTTGACAATCTGATTGCGTGCTTTGATAATCCGGATTATCCGCTTTGACAATCTGGATTGCGTGCTTTGATAATTCAGATTATCTTTCTTTGTCCGCTGTGATAATACGGATTATTCTGTTCGATAACCCAGATTATCCAGTTTGTCTACTTTGACAATCCGATTGTGTGCTTCGATAATCCGGATTATCTGCTGTGTGCTTTGATAATCTGGATTATCCTCTGGTAATCTGGATTGTCTGCTGTGATAATACGGACTATCCTCTTTGACAATCCAGACTATACTCTCTGACAGTCCGGACTGTCAAAGCGGAATAATCTGGATTATCAAAGCACACAATCGGATTATCCTGTTTGACAATCCGGATTATCTACTTGCTGACAATCTGGATTGTATGATTTGACAATCCGGATCATCAGCTTTGCTTTTCTGCTTTGACCACCCTGATTGTGTGCTTCGATAATCTGAATTATCCTCTTCGACAACCCGGATTGTCTGCTGTGATAATCCAGATTATACTGTTCGATAATCCGGACTGTCTGCTGTGATAATCTGGATTATCCTGTTCGATAATCTGGACTGTTTGCTGTGATAATCTGGATTATCCCGTTCAATAATCCAGACTGTCTGCTGTGATAATCTGGATTATCCCGTTCAATAATCCAGATTATCCGCTGTGATAATCTGGATTATTCTCATTGACAATCCAGATTGTCTGCTGTGATAATCTGGATTATCCTCTTTGACAATCCAGATTGTCTGCTGTGATAATTTGGATTATCCTGTTTGATAATCCAGATTATCCTGTTCAACAATTTAGATTGTCTGCTGTGATAATACAGATTATCCTGTTCGACAATTTAGATTGTCTGCTGTGATAATCTGGATTATCCTGTTCGATAATCCGGATTATCCTGCTCGATAATCCAGATTGTCTGCTGTGATAATCTGGATTATCCTCTTTGACAATCCAGATTGTCTGCTGTAATAATATGGATTATCTGCTTCGACAATCTTGATTATCTTGTTTGATAATCCGGATTATCCTCTGAGGTAATCCGGATTATCCTGACAATCCAGATTATTAGCTTTGATTGTCTGCTTCGACAACCCTGATTGTGCTTTGATAATCCGGATTATCCTCTTTGATAATCCGGATTATAGTACAGAGGCACAGTCTAGCTAGCTATCGGGCAGCTCTGCTCTCTCCAGGGTAAGGGGGCATTCCCTTGCCTTCTTCCCCTCTCCAATCTTTCCTCTCCCCGGCTAGACCCCCATAAGACCCCCCGCGACCCTCACCCGGCGCTGCTTCCAACGGACTCCCCTCGGCGCTCCAACTGCGCATGCGCGACCCCATCCGCGCTCCCGGATCCTTCCCACGAAGACCGACGAATGAACCAGCCACCGCTAAGCCGCTTGCACGTACTGCGCAGGCGCGCCTCCTGGGCGTAGCTTGACTGACGTGGCGACTCCGGCGCGGGAGGGGGCGGGGCTTGGCGGTTCACTGGCAACTTACGAGTGGGCGGGGAAAAGGGACACAAATCCACCAATCAGGGAACTCACTCCCTTCTTCTCTCTCTCTCTCTTTCTCTCTCTCTCTCTCATACTCTCTTAGCCACGCCCCCTCTCGTCGAGTGAGCTTGGTTTCCCTCCTCCGCAAAAGCGCATGCGCTAACTCTCTCTCACACATTCTCTCTCAGCCACGCCCCCTCTCGTCGAGTGAGCTTGCTTTCCCTCCTCCGCAGAAGCGCATGCGCTAACTCTCTCTCTCTCTCTCACACACATTCTCTCTCAGCCACGCCCCCTCTCGTCGAGTGAGCTTGCCTCCCCCTCTTCTGGAAATGCGCATGCGCTAAAGGAAAGGCGGGAAAACGTGATCTGTAGAAAAACACAGGTCCCTGTTGAGGGGCTGCGCATGCGCAGTGTGCGTTTGGCCTGAGGAGAATTTTCCCTCCACAAAGCTGCATTTTTTTCCCTTCAGTCACAGTCGTAGAATCGTTTTGACCAACTGGAATATTTGAAAATGAGAATATAAAGGCACAAATGTTGGTGAAAGTGCGAGTTGTGAGGAGACTTCATGTCTACTTTGACCAGGCCTAGTCAAACTTAGGAATGGTGGGAACCGTGGACATGATCTTCACTGCACGACAGCTCCAAGAAAAATGCAGAGAACCAAACCAACCTCTGTACATGGCATTCATCGACCTTGCAATTCATCGACACAGTGAATTGCAGCGCTCTCTGGACCATCCTCCAAAAAATTGGGGCGCTCCATGCAGTCATGCTGGCCACATGACCTTGGAGATGTCTACAGACAACGCTGGCTCTTCGGCTTAGAAATGGAGATGAGCACCACACCCCAGAGTCAGACATGACTGGACTTTAACGTCAGGGGACTACCTTTACCTTTTTAAACAAATTTGTGAACATCCTGCGTCTCCTCCATGATAACATGATGGCAACAGTCCTGGACAGCAATGGCTCCCAAAGTGACCCATTTAAGGTGGAATCAGGTGTCAAACAGGGATGTGTTATTGCCCCAACTCTATTTTCCATCTTCATCGCTATGATACTTCACCTTGTTGATGGGAAGCTTCCCACCGGAGGAAAATCATCTATCGGACAGATGGCAAGCTATTCAACCTCAGCAGACTGAAAGCCAAAACCAAAGTTACAACAACAGTCTGTTATAGAACTCCAGTATGCTGATGACAATGTCGTCTGTGCGCATTCAGAAGAAGATCTACAAGCCACTCTAAACACCTTGGCAAAAGCATACGAGAACCTCAGCCTGTCATTGAACATCGAGAAAACCAAAGTGCTGTTCCAGCAGACACCGGCCAATCCCTCTCTAATGCTAGAAATACAGCTTAATGGTGTAACATTAGAAAATGTGGACCATTTCCGCTACTTTGGCAGCCACCTCTCCACCAAAGTCAACATCGACACCGAAATACAACATCGCCTGAGCTCTGGGAATGCAGCATTTTTCCGAATGAAGCAGAGAGTGTTTGAGGACCGGGACATCCGTAGGGAAACCAAGGTGCTTGTTTATAAAGCTGTTGTTCTCCCAACACTGCTATATGCCTGTGAAATGTGGACTGTCTACAGACGTCACATGCAACTCCTGGAACGATWCCAGCAGCACTGCCTCTGGAAAATCCTGCAAATCTCTTGGGAAGACAAGAGGGCAAAAGCCAGCGTGCTGGAAGAAGCAAAGACCACCAGCATTGAAGCGATGGTCCTCCGCCATCAACTCCACTGGACCGGCCATGTTGTCYGGATGCCCGACCACCRTCTCCCAAAGTAGTTGCTCTACTTCGAACTCAAGAACACGAAACGGAATGTTGGTGGGCAGGAAAAGAGATTTGAAGATGGGCTCAAAGCCAACCTTGAAAACACTGGCATAGACACTGAGAACGGGAAAGCCCTGGCCCTTGAGTGCTCCAGCTGGAGGTCAGCTGTGACTAGCAGTGCTGCAGAATTTGAAGAGGCATGAATGAAGGGTGAAAGAGAGAAATGTGCCAAGAGGAAGGCACTTCAAGCCAACCCCAACTGAGACCTCCTTCCACCTGGAAACCAGTGCCCTCACTGTGGAAGAAGATGTAGATCAAGAATAGGGCTCCACAGCCACCTACGGACCCACAAGAATACTGATCGTGGAAGACTATCCTACTCGGCCAACGAGGGATCACCTAAGTAAGTAAGGCAAGCTTAGGCCTTCCAGGTGTTCTGGACTCCAACTCCCACCATTCCTAACAGTCTCAGGTGCTTTCCTTGGCTGAGGGGGAAAAGGAAGGGGCCTGAGGCTGTTAGGAATGGTGGGAGTTGGAGTCCAAAACACCTGGAAGGCCTAAGCTTGCCCAGGCCTGATGTACCACAGTCCTGAAGCAAAGAGCAGCAGCATTGAAGCGATGCTCCTTCACTATCGACTGCTGGACTGAAGACCACGTTGTCCGAATGCCCAAAGATCACCCAAAGCAGTTGTGTTAACTCTCAACTCAAGAACGGAAAGCAGAATGTTGGTGGACAGGAAACGAGATTCAAAGACGGACTTAAAGCCAACCTTCAAAAATGAGTCATAGACACAAAGAGAAAACTGGGAAGCGCTGGCCTTTGAGCGTCAAACCGGAGGTCATCGAATCATACAATAATAGATATGGAAAAAACCATATGGGCCCCTGTGACCAACAGTGCTATGGAATTTGAAGAGGAACAATGGAGGGCGGAAGAGAGAAGCCTGTCAAGAGGGGACATTTGGTGGGGACAAGGGAACCGGGCCTTTTCTGTGGTGGGCCCTCAGCTGTGTGTGGAAGTCAGAAGGGAGAAACATGTCAAGAGGAAGGAGGTGCATCAAGCCAACCCTTGTTGGGACTGTCTTCCATCCGTAGGGAGACCAAAGATTCAAAACAATCTTGACAGATTAGAGAGATGGGCCAAAACTAACAAAATGAAGTTTAACAGTGACAAATGCAAGATATTCCACTTTGGCAGGAAAAACGAAATGCAAAGATATAGAATGGAGGATGCCTGGCTCGAGAGCAGTACGTGTGAAAAAGATCTTGGAGTCCTCGTGGACAACAAGTTAAACATGAGCCAACAATGTGATGTGGCCGCAAAAAAGGTCAATGGGATTTTGGCCTGCATCAAGAGGAGCAGAGTGTCTAGATCTAGGGAAGTAATGCTACCCCCTATTCTGCCTTGGTTAGACCACACCTGGAATATTGTGTCCAATTCTGGGCACCACAATTGAAGAGAGATATTGACAAGCTGGAATGTGTCCAGAGGAGGGCGACTAAAATGATCAAGGGTCTGGAGAATAAGCCCTATGAGGAGTGGCTTAAGGAGCTGGGCATGTTTAGCCTGAAGAAGAGAAGGCTGAGAGGAGATATGATAGCCATGTATAAATATGTGGGAGGAAGCCACAGGGAGGAGGGAGCAAGCTTGTTTTCTGCTGCCCTGGAGTCAAGGACGTGGAGCAGTGGCTTCAAACTATAAGAAAGGAGATTCCATCTGAACATGAGGAAGAACTTTCTGACTGTGAGAGCCGTTCAGCAGTGGAACTCTCTGCCCCGGAGTGTGGTGGAGGCTCCTTCTTTGGAAGCTTTTAAACGGGCTGGATTGCCATCTGTCAGGGGTGATTTGAATGCAATATTCGTGCTTCTTGACAGGGGGTTGGACTGGATGGCCCATGAGGTCTCTTCCAACTCTTTGATTCTATGATTCTAAGGTGCTTGTTTATAATGCCATTGGCCTCCCAACCCTGCTATATGCCTGTGAAACGTGGACTGCCTAAAGACATCACACGCAACTCCTGGAACGATTCTAGGAGGAAGAAAAGGAGAAAGAAAAAAGTGAGGAAAAAGTTGGAGGGAGAAAAAGAAAGGGAAAGTGGCAAGACGAAAGGAAGAAAGGGGATAGAAAATGGAAGGAAAGGAAGAAGAAGGGAGGGAGGAAAAGGGGGAAGAAAGAAAGGGAAGGAGGCAGGAAGAAAAGGAGAAAGGAGGGAGAAAATGAAAGGAAGAAAGAAGGAGGGAGAAAGAAAGGGAGGGATGAAGATAGCAAGAAAAGGAAAAAAGGAAAAGAAGAAAAAGGGAAGGAAGGAGGAAGACAGGAAGAAAAGGAGAAAGGAGGGAGGAAAGAAAAAGAAGGGAAGAACGGGAGGGAGAAAGACAACAAGAAAAGGAGAAAGGAGGGAGAGAAGGCAAGGAAAAAAGAAAGGGAAGACAGCAAGAAAAAGAGAAAGAGGAGGGAGAAAATGAAAGGAAGAAAGAAGAAGGAGGGAGGAAGAAAGAAAGGGAGGGATGAAGATAGCAAGAAAAGGAAAAAGGAAAAGGAGGGAGGAAGACAGGAAGAAAAGGAGAAAGAGGAGGGAGGAAAGAAAAAGAAGGGAAGAACGGGAGGGAGAAAGACAACAAGAAAAGGAGGGAGAGAAGGCAAGGAAAAAAGAAAGGGAAGACAGCAAGAAAAGGAGAAAGGGAGAAAAGGAAAGGAAGAAAGAAAGAGGTAGGAAAAAGGGAGAGATGGAGACAGTGAGAAAAAGAGAAAGGAGGGAGAAAAAAGAAAAGGGAGGGAGGGAGGAAGACAGCAAGAAAAGGAGAAAGAGGGAAGAAAGAAGAAGGGAATGAGGAAAGGGAGGAAGAAAGAAAGGGAAGGAGGGAGTAAGACAGCAAGAAAAGGAGGAAAAAATAAAGAAAAAGATGTAGGAAAACAAAGAGGAAATGTGGAAACTGAGAATGGAGGGATTCAGAAATTATGGCGTAGTGGTTTGAACTTCGTCTGTGGCTCCAAACCTTCTGCGTGACTTTAGGCAAGTCACACTCTCTCAGCTTCAGATGAATAAATCCTGACAAGAAATCCCAGTGCTATCACTGGGTCAAACTCTGCCTGAAATGACTTGGAACTCAGAGTCCTTCTTTAAGTTGGATGTTTGTAACTCAGG